TTTCTAGTAGGGCAGGATATATTTCTGTACCCCTTTGCCTGTTTATCTTATTTCCCAGTTGCATGTAAAAACAATTTTTAACATTCTAAAGCTAATTTATCTCAATAAACATTTATTAATTGAAAGTCACTCTATATCTGGCATGGGATAGGGTGGCATTTGTGATTTCTAGATGTAGCAAACTTCCAAAAAGAAGTCCTACTACAAATGCAGGTCAGCATTTTCTCTGCATCTCAGAGAGTTGTCAAGGGGAAGGGGGGGAGGAGGCACCAAGAGGTTAAATGACTTTTCCAGGATCACACAGTCAATATGCATCAGAGGTAAGACTTGAACCCATGTCTTTCTAAAGTCAGTTCTATCATGGTGCTTCTCTTTGTATTAATACCACATGTATACACAAATCTAATATATATATATATACATATATATGCATATATATATATACATATACACATAGTATTTCCTTTTCTGTATTCATATTGTTTCCTCCCAATAGAGTGTAAGATCCCTGAAGGCAGGGACTGTTCCTTTTTTGTCTCTGTCTCTTTAGAACCTACTGTTGCACAGTGCCTGGCACACAGCAGTAATTTAATAAATGCGTGTTGAATGAATGAATGAATTATTTATAATGTGCAGAGCTTCATGGTTGGTGCCTTAGAGGTTTTGAGTTCTATGTGGTTTCCACCCAGGGAAGGAGGATAAGGCATTTCTATAGAAATAAGGTTTAGTGGGAAATAATCTGGATTTGGAGTCAGCAGATGTGGGTTTGAATCCATGCTCTGCCACTTAATATTTGTGTGACCTTGAGCACACCTCTTCCCTCCTCCTAAGCCTTCTCTAGATTTTGGGTTTTTTCCCCCTCTGTAAAATAAGGGGGTCAGACCAGAGTAGATATTCTTTAAGGCTCCTTGCCACTGTAAATCCCACTATCTATTGTTCAGATAACTACAATACAATACAGAACATGATTAAGTGCATAAGAGAGATGCAGACCAAGTACTGGAGACATTCAGAAGAAGGCAGACATGTCAGGTCACACCAGGCACTGACTGGAGAACATAAGCCACAGGGAGTGCCTCCCTGGAGTGGGCCAGCTGTTTCTAGCTCCACTCAGCCCACCCCCATGTGGGAGGAGCTGCAGGGATGCTGGAGGCCCCCAGGTTGGAGGCATTAAGACCTGCCCTTCATAATGAACATCTCAGTGCTGCTGAGAGAACATCCTTCAGTCATTGCCAGCCTGGATCAAAGAAAGGAGCCCTTGGATGCACAGCTGTGGGTGGTTATTCTCCCAAACATATCAATGAGGGCTTTTGCACCTGGTGTTCTCTTCGCCAGGCCCCTGCCCACCCCCATCCTTGCCTCATTGCCCTGAGAGCTCTGGATCCTGGGATGTTCAGGGGGGCATGGTGTTGGTGAATGTTTGGGGATAAAGTGGGGCCTGGTTTGATACTGCAGCTCATCAGGGTGGGATGGGATAGGGGGAGAATCTGAAGCTCTCTGGCCTGGAGCTCTGATTCCCAGGCAGCCCAGAGTCGGGGATTGTGGTAGGACTGCTGAGGTGGAAGGTGGGGTGGGCTAAGGAGAGCAGCTCATATCCGTTCGGCCAGGCCTCTGAAGTGCAGCCAAAGCGTTTCCCAGGAAATGACACACCTCCGGGTCCCCCAGGCAAATGTTCTCCACTGAGTATGGGTAGCAGATATTGCTCTGACAATGGCATCAAGGTGACCACAGAGATGTGTCATATGAAGCTGGACCAGACAGACCCTCTGTCTGCAAAAAAGGAAAGTCACTGGGGTCTGCGATAGGCCACGGATGCTTCAGCCATGGCCCAGGCAGGCCTAACCAGGTGCTGGCAAGGGGGGGTGGGGGTGGGGCTGGGGGTGAGATGGTGGTAGTGATGGAGATGCAGAGATAGGAATTAGGTGTTGGAAGAGACATTAAAGATCGGCTAGTCCGACCTCTTCATTTTAGAGAGGACAGGCAGAGATTCAGAAGAGGCAAATAACTTGACCAAAGTCAGACCAAGAGTCAAGTCAATGAAGAACTAGGACAAGACCTTAGTTCTACCTCCAAATCTGCCTATGAGGATGAGTCCTAACAGAGTGAGGACAGGCCAGGAGTCGGGAGGTAGGGCAGGGGGTGCTGAAAACAAGGGTGGAGCCCAACCTTTAATGTGGTGACTGGGCTGGGCCTAAGGCTGTCGTCACCGTCCTCCTTGCTTTGGCCCAGGCTTCCACTAGTGTGGGCAGAGCATGCAGCTCAGTCCCCAAGGACCCCAAGAAGGGTGTGACCCAAGGGAAGGAGAGAGGGCTGGGGTCCTTCCCTTCCTGCTTAATCAGGACCCTTTCAGTCTGCTTCCTCCAGGGTGGCCAGCAATGTTGGAGAGAAGCTTCCGGGAAGCAGGTGGCAGGCTAGAGACAACAGTGGCAGCAGACTCAAATCAGCTCGATATCAGGAAAAACAGGTCGTCACGCTTCCAGTTCTCTACAAGTGAACCGGGCTGCTTGCAAAGACAGTGAGCTCCCTGGAGTCACGGGAGGGCTCCAAATGCCCTCCATACAATCACTCACCGAGGATGCTGGTAAAGGAGAGCACTGCTCTGGAGGAGGGCAGAGGAGAGAGGAAAAGATGCCTTCTGGGAACCCTTCCCACTCTAAAGTTCACGGAATTGTCAGCAGTGGAACGAATACTGAATTTGGAATCGGCAGGTCCAGATTCAAAGCCCAGTTCTGTCTCTGACCTCTCACGTGACTAGAAAAGTTACTTAACTTTGAGCACGTTTGTTTGTCTGTTTTTAGCCGAAAAATGAGGAGATGGAACTGGAGGACTTCTAAGGTCCCTGCCAGCTCTAAATCTATGACTTACGAATGCTGAACCTGAAGTCAGATGGGTTCAAACACTAGTTCGGTCATTTGTTACCTGTGTGAACACAGGCAGATCACAGGCCCTTCTCCGGGCCTCAGTCTCCTCATCCGGAGGATGGTAGATAAACGACCTCCCTGACCCTTTCGAGTTTTAAATCTACATCCTATGAGTACTTCCTCTTGTTAGAGGATGAGGGCTCGAACGCTAGAATTCAGCAGAAACCTGAGCAGGAGATAGATGCTTTTGGCATTGCCATCCTGTCCCCAGGTGGTTTAAATCTGAAGCTCTGTCCAAGGCCCCAGGCAGGGGCTTCTAAGTTCCATCTCCCTGTAAGAAAGCTGAGCAGAAATCCTCAGTTCTGGGTTCGGGTTCAGGAGGAGCTTTCATCAGAAAACAGGAAATGTGCACTTCTCATCTAGTTAGCCTCTACTCTGAAACCTTCCTCGGCTCCCCATTGCTAAACTCCTCATCTTGTTATTCAAAACCCTCCACAACTTGGAGGTAGCCTAGCTCTCCAGTCTTCTCTCTCATTGCCCTCCTTTCTCCCTGCCTCCCACACTCTACCCTCCAGTAAAACTCGACTGCTAGCTATTCCTCAAACTCATCTCGCCTCCCTGCCTTCGTTTGCACTTGCTGCAATGCCGAGAATGTTCTCTACACCCATCCTCCTTGCCCTCAATCCATTTCTACCTGTTGAAATCTTTCCAATCATCCAAGAATAGATGTTTCCTCTTTTGTGAAGTCTTCCCTGGGGGCAGCTAGGTGACACAGTGGATAGAGCACTGGCCCTGGATTCAGGAGGATTTGAGTTCAAATCCAGCCTCAGACACCTAACACTTAGTAGCTGTGTGACCCTGGGCAAGTCACTTAACCTCATTGCCTAGCCAAAAACAAAAACAAACAAACAAAAAAAACCAAAAGATAGTGAAGTCTTCCCTGAACCCTACAGCTGCAAGGGATCAGTCTTTCCTTCTGAACTAAAAAAGGATGCTGTACCACTCAAATGTCATTTATATTCCATTTTGCATTAAAATACCTTTGTCTTAGCTCCCCTACCATACCATGAGCTTCTTGAAAGCAGGGATTAGGTCTTTATACTGGAAGATCTGTCCCTAGTGCTGCTATGTTCAACATTTTTATTAATGAAGGCACTGATGGTGGGCTTATCAAATTTGCAGGTGACATAAACCTATGGTGGATAGTTAACATGCTGGATGACACAGGTTTCAAAACTATTTTGACAGGTGAGGACAATGGACTGAATCTAATATGATAACAATTAGTAGAGATATGTCAAGTGCTATAATTGGCTTCAAAAAATAAATTTCACAAGTATGAGATAAGAGGAGTCATGGCTAGACGAGAATGGATGTGAAAAATATTTGGGAATTTTAGAAAAATGCAATGCAACAAGGGTCAAGGGTGCAAAATAGCAGCCACAACCAAATGCCCCAGGGGCAGCTAGGTGGTGCAGTGGATAGAGTACTAGCCCTGGAGTCAGGAGGACCTGAGTTCAAATCTAGCTTCAGCCCAGACACTTGACACTTATGAGCTGTGTGACCTTGGGCAAGTCACTTAACCCCAATTGCCTCCAAAAACAAAAACGAAAACAAAAAAACAACATGTCTCCTATCTAGAAAATGAGAGGTGATCATTCTGCTGATCTCTGGCTTGGTCAGAATATAGCTGTGTTTAGTGATGGGGCACCACATATGAGGAAGGACATCAGTGAACTGGAGAGTGTCTATAGAAGGACAACCAGTATGGTGAAGAGATCTAAGATCATGACATAAGACTTGGTGGAAGGAACTGGAAGACCGAGGGGTAGGGAGGTCTTCAAGTATTTGAAGATCTTTCATGTGGAAGAGAGGTTAATTTGTTCTGCATGGTAGAACCAGCAGCAACGACTGAAAGTTATGAGTGACATTTCAACTTCATGTAAATGGAAACATTGTGTCAATGACTCTCTCCCGACATAAAGGGCCCAAGTACACTTCTGTGATTTGCTCATTCTTACACCAGTAATGAGACTTTCAAACTTCTCAAGATGTGATCACCAATTCCCCTTACAAGCTCACTGGCTCACAAGGCTTTAAAGAATGAGCAGGTTTATTATAAAGTCAGAGACAGTAAATAAACTTGTACCAGAGCTCCTAACCAGTGACCAGCATCCAATATAGTCCTAGTCTCTTATGGCCTATAGTGAATAGGGTTCCTACAATCCATGATTCCAATGAAGGCCACTGTGGTCTCTCCTCTGCTTGTGGTGTGTCTATACAACATTAGGTAGCCCCTCACCTCACATCAGATGATAAGTATCCTTTCAATACTTGTCCAGGCTGCTGTTGGTGGACTATTTCAGATTCTCCCATTATTCTCCGCTGATTGTCCACTGAGTCTAGTTCTGCCCATTATCACCTTCTCTACTCCTTAGAGAAAGCTATTCCTCAGAAGTAGGAAAAGGAATTTTATCAGAGCTCCTTTGCCTGAGTCAAAGACTTCGAATTTTCTGTCTCCCTCCCTTCTAACGAACTCTAGTTGCAAACCCTGTGCCCTGATGTTCTGAATGCTCTGGCATGCTCAGCTTTGAGGAACACAGATTCAGATCCAGATTCCCACAGGGATCATGCCACCCTCCTCTGCAAACCTCAGGGCTTCCTCTTCCTCTTATTCCCCCCAGAGGCTCTTGTGGTCCCTGGATGTGGGTAGTGGCAGGAAAGAGCCAGATAACACCAGGCACATTCCCATGACAGTTGGGATACTGAAATGGTGGGAGATGAACAGAGAAAGCTGAGCATTGCCCCTTGGTTTGGTGGGATGGGGAAATTTTTATTGATTCCTACTTTCTAACCAAAAGTAGAGTAGATGATCTAGTGAATACATCTTCCCTCTCTAGAGGTCTTCAACTAAAGCCTAGATGATCAGTTGCTATCAACAGTGGTAGAAGGGATTTTTGTTTAGGCACAAATCACAGTAGCTTCTCCAGCTTCTCAAATCCCTTCCAACCCTGAAATTCTGTAATTCCCCCACAATTGGGCCCATAGGAAACACTGAAGAATGCTTACTGCATTGTTGATATGTACTGACTGTGCATCCAGTCTGGCATTTGGAGGGCTCTTCTGACCACAGTTGTTCCAGCGTTTGCCCCAGGCATCGGCTCTATTTCAGTCACACTCATCTCTATTCCATTAGTAGGAAGAGGATCAGGGGAGCTGGACCCCCCTCATGGAGAAATCCCTGATCACAGTATTCCCTCAAGCTCTTCAAAGCTTAAGAGCTGAGTGTGTTAATAAACCCTTTTTGTCTCTTCCAGGAGGTGATGGGAGTGAGCCCCAGGGGCATAACTTGACAGGGCTGTCAAATTGGACACGATTGCACAAGGCAGATGCTGGCATTTTCTCCTTTCCAAGCGCCATCATCACCATGCAGGGCGAGCGGAAGGGATGTGCTGTAACCAGAGGATTGGGAAAGAGGAAGCCTTTGGGGAGCTGGGCAGGCCTCATAGCTGACAGGCAAAATGCATTCCATTCATAGGTTCATCTCCAGATCCTGGGGAGTTGGAGAACAGGAAGGCAAGAGGAAAGAGTCCCAAAGGAAACAGAATAAAAGTCTGGGGAGGGGACGGGCACGGACTGCATAAGTCTCCAGGACCAAGGGGAATATTGTGCTGTGTGTGGTTAAGGAAAAGGGAATGAAAGATGGGGAGGCTGAACACCAGATTGGGAGTTAGAAGACAGGGGCTCACTTTCTTCATCTGTAAAACAAGAGATCTCCTAAGGCTACTTCTGGCCTTAAAATCCTTTGATTCTTTGACACGTGGAAGCCCAGCCAAGCTGAGCCTAATGACTTATTGGCAAAAATAGAGAAGGTGCTGCCATGTTTGGGGGAAAATTCTCTGGCGTATATGGTTAGCACTCAGCTTCTTAGATGTTTTGAAAACCATTCATTCACTTTGGCCTGAATAGAAAGCACCTGGGCCTCACCTCATTTGGAGGCTGTTCAAACTCCATCTCCTTGCTGAGGAGGATCCAGATGTTGGAAAAAGATGTCAAGTTTGGAAGATATCTGGGGAGAGGTCCTCAAGAGTTGCTTCTTAATTTACCAAACTAATGAAAGACGATGAAGGCCTTTGGCAAGTGTGAAGGGTGACGACTCAACCCAAATAATGAAAAGATTAATAATTTGCTGAGTTGGCACTGTCCTCCCTTCAGAGTCCATGTGGCCATTCGGGCTGATGTCTATGTTACAGCAGCCTGCATCAAAAGGAGCTTTCAGAGAGGCACATCTGTCCAGGATCATTTTTAGCACAGATTAGCTTTTTGGTCCATTTTTCCTACCCCTCACTTCTCAGCTGCCTTTAAAGAAGCCGCGAGTTGTCGAAGAGCCTGTCCAAGTCAAAAGAGACAAGTGCAAAACTGAAAACTCGGCAAAGGGACAGGGCCTTCCAGCTGGGGAAAATGTGCCTGCAAAATCACATCCTGCCCTTGGCAGCTTCCCTGGATTTATGGTAGAGTTTTGCAGACATTTCATCACATTATAAGCCAGCTCAGAAGACCCTCATAAAACTCTGCTTATATGAAAGAACAAACTGGCTGATAAAAATCAGCTGTTGCCTATAAATGTTAGATGGAGTAGCGGGGTTTATGAGGCTGGGCACATGGAGTTTGAGAACACAAAGCCAAGAACGTAAAGCTAACCCATATTTGAGACAAAGACAGTGTGGTATAACCAAAGGATTGCTAAACTTGGACTCACAAGTCCCAGGTTCAGGTTTCAACACTTGTGAGCTATGCACACCTGGGCAGATCCTCAGTTTTGGAAGCTGTAAAAAGGGGATGATAACACTCACATCATTTATCTTTCAGTGTTCCTGGGTTACGTAACTTACAAGTGTCAGAGAAACGCAAATTATTAGTGGTATGTGCATGGTGTCTTAGTTCCCCCACTAGACTGGAAGCTTCTCAAGGGTAGAAAGTTACTTAATGCTTGTATTTCCCCCATTGCCCAGTACGGTGTTCTACTCTTAGTATCAGGGTCCCAGGACTTCGGAAATACACTGACCCAAAAGAATAGAGAAAGGCTCAGAAGATAGGGCCCAGAAAAAAGGAGGTGATAATCCTGTTGTACTCTACCTTGGTCAGACCACATCTGGAGTACTCTGCTGAGTTCTCAGTACCACATTGAAGGACATTGATAAACATCAGAGTTAAGTTTACCTGGATGGTGACATGCTTGAATATCAGGCCATACAGATATTAGTTGAAGGAACTGGGGATGTTTAGCCTGAAGAAAAGAAGACTGGGGGGTAGGAGGCAAGGATTAGGGTGAGGGCTGATAGCTGTCTTCAAGTAGAACCTGGGAGTTCAGACCTTTGCTTGGCTACCTACTAAGTATATGAAGTTCAAGAAGTTACTTCTCCTCTGGCCCTGTTTTCTCATTTGCAAAACAGGCTAAATCAAGGCTTCTTAACTTGGGGTCCATAAACTTATTTTTTAAAACAAATTTGATGACTGCATTTTAACATAGTCAGTCCCCTTTGTAATCTTATGTATTTTATGAACTTAAAAACATGATTCTGAAAAGGAGTCCAAAGGTTTCACCAGACTGCCCAAGGGGCCCATGGGAAAAAAAAGGTTAAGAGCCTCTAAGTTAGATGACCTCTTGGTCTTTTCCACCTCTCAAGACTATGAACCTGTAAGTATTTAAAGGGGTGTCATGTAGAAAGATGATTAGAATTGTTCCACTTATCCTCTGAGGACAGAGCAATGGGTAGAAGTTGCAGGGGGCCAGATTTTGCTTGAACATGAGGAACTTGCTATGAAGTACTCTCCAAAAGTGGAATGGTCTATCTCAGCAGGTAGATGTCTACTCAGATGTCTTCAAGCAAAGGCTGGACAAATAATTCTTGAGGATTGTTCTACAATGAATTCTTGTTTGGGTACAGGTTGGGCTAGAGATGGGGTATGCTGGAGCAGCTTGAAACTGTTGAGAGTCAATTGTTAAATTTTCAGTGTGATACTGGCAAATGCTACAAAATAGAGCTCAATTTCACATTCTGTGGACCATCTAGACTTAAGAAAGTGATAGAGAAAACATTAATAATGCAGATTAAACTTAAAAGCACGTTGTGCATACATCCTCCAGCCTACAGCTGGTTGTTAAACACTTACCAGCACACTCTTAGGGGCAGCTAGGTGGTGGAGCCTGAAGTCAGGAAGACTCATCTTTCTGAGTTCAAATCTAGTTTCAGATACTTAGTAGCTGTGTGAACCTGGGCAAGTCACTTAACCCTGTTTGCCTCAGTTCCTCACCTATAAAACGAGCTGGAGAAGGAAATGGCAAACAACTCTAATATCTTTGCCACGGAAACCCCAAAAATGGGGTCACAAAGAGTCAGATGAGACTGAACAACAAAGCAGCACACCCCTGACACTGAGGTCTTGGCTGACTCTGCCGCTCACCCTTCACAACACATAAACTCAACCACCCCTGTACAGTGGGACAACTTAGCATCAGCCCCAAGGTTCTGGCTCACCCTACTTCAATAGGCTGCCTATCGCTAGCTCCACAGTAGAAAAGAGACTGGTGCCCTCCTTAGGCTTTCTGGTAGCTGTCCCTACCTTTCTGCTATCACAGTTCGTGCACTTTTGCTTCTGAGTCCAGAAATGTTTGCAGTGACAAATAAATAGTAGTTGAATTTGAGTGAGTTATAATTCACTGTTTCATAGAACTTTAAAGTAAGCAAAGGTCTTTTCTTACCACTATCCTATGAGATAGACAGTACGAGTTGTCATCATCATTCCCATTTTACAAATGAGGAAACTAAAGCTCAGAAGTGATTCGCCGCTCGCCATACAGCTAGTGTCAGAGACGTGGTCTGAGCCCACGTCCACTGAATCTAAGTGTAGCACTCTTTTTGCTATACCTTGCTGTTTCTTTGCAATTGGCAGGTGTTTCCCACAATTTAAGGTGAGCAGGTAAGAGCAGTGGCCTGAGTGTGGGATGAGGAGCTAAGCAGACACAGATAGAGAAAAGGAAGGGGACCAAGGCTACTTTCTTTCTGAAAAGCTGCCTTTGCTCTAGCCAACTATCCTTCCCAAGGCCACTTTTTTTTTTTTTATCTTCTCCACATGACAAAGTACCAGCTGGCCAAAAAGATGAAACTGCTTATTGTTCCAAGGTAGGGCTCTGAGGTTATTTGTAAAATGGACCACTGTGGAATTTTACAGTGAGAGTTGGTCTGTACAAAGCCCTTACCACACGAACATATGGAAGCTGAGGTTATTGTCCTCCACTGCCTGGAGGGCTGACCCCTGGAAGAAAGGTTAGATTTGTTCTGCTTGGCCCCAGAAGACAGAATTAGGAGAATCTAGGGGAGTGGGGGAAGAGATGAATTTCCCATCAAAGCTATTTAACAACGGCTATGTTGAAAAACAGTGAGCTTCCCATCATTGCAGACTGCCCAAAGGGTCCATAACCCACGGCAAATATTTAAGAACGTTTTAGAGCCTTGATTACTAACTTGCTAGGATTGTGGCAGAAGAGGTTAAACATTGGGCATGGGATTAGACTCAGTAACTTCTCTCCTCTGGTACTCTGAATTCTTCAAGCTGAAAATCACCCAATTATTAGCCAGCTACCTTGGGCAACCTCTGTGCCTCAGTTTCTTCCTCTGTACAATGAGGGAACTAGCTAATTTCTTTCAATGTTAGTCTCCTAAAAGTCTTTCCTACACGTTAGGTCTCCTTGGGTCATCTGTGCTGTCAATTCAGAGGGCAACAGATCCGCTGCCCATCAACAAGGAGCCAGTGAGTCAGAGCCTTTCAGGAATGAGAGGGAGAGGGAGCTGGAATTGGGTCGCCTCCCTGAAATTCCTCTAGAAGCACTTGTTTGCTCCTCGCACCTGGCACAGAAAGTAGAAGGGTAAGGCTCTGGCAGGCAGCCCTGCTTCATTCCAACCGTCTTGGCAAAGGAGTGAGATAGGAGGATAACAGACAAGACTGCTGCTATTGCCTGAGTAAGACCCTGATCACCTCAAGGGCCAGATAAGGAAACAGGTTTAGGACCCAAGGAAGTTCTGGTCTCCTTCCTTGGGACAGGGCTAAAGGGAAGGATGTAAATGGCCTTGAGCAGGTAGAAAGAATGGGTCCTTCTCTCGTGAACACATTAACCCCGGCTCCTCTTCTCCCAAGAACAAGCTAAGACCTAAACAGGTTCATTCACTTGGGACAAGTGCTTCCTCATCTTCTCAATGGAAACCTTGTAATCAATTTCTAGAAATGGAGAAGGTTCAAAGAAAAAGAAGGCTAATCAAGAGCTTACTTCATTCCAATCTACATGTTGCACTGGAAAGGGTAGAATATTTTGAATCACAGAAATGTGAGAGCTGGAAGATGCCTTAGAGACTGTCTTGTGCAAACTCTGTCCAATGTCACATAGTTCATAGTGGCAGAACCAAGATTCGACAGTCTTTTTTCACAAAGTTATATTGCCTCCATTATGTGACTCAATCAAGCGTCTCTGAGCAAGTTCTTTTCAAACCCCTCTGAGGTTCAATTTTCTCATCTGTAAGCTGGGAATACTATCCCAACCTCATGGAGTATGCTATAGATGCAATGAGATGATGGATGTGCAAGCGCTTTGTAATTATAAATCACCACAAAAACATTAGCCATTAAAACTATTTATCCCAAACAAAATCAAGAGCCAGAACACATTCTTCACTGGAAGGCTTTACACCCATGACCTATTGTCTCCCTGATTTAGGAGACCAGGCCAAGAGGAAAGGAAAATGCCAAGAAGGAACGGATGAGGCCAAAAAGCATGAGATTATTCATCACATCAATGACCACCTTAGGGGATAATCTCTTCTCTTCCCTCCTCTCACCAATCAATAAGACTACATGTCCTGCTGTAGGATCTCTATCTGTAAGTACTCATTACCCAAGCAGACACAGGGATACAGAGAAACAGAAGAAAAGCTCTGGTCTGGGGGCCAAGTGCCCAGGGTTTGGGGTTCTCCACACTGCTGCTGAAAAAGTACTTGACCTTAGTCAAGTCTCTCCCCCTCCTCTCTGTTTCCTTCTTCCTCTGTAAAATGATGAGTTTGGACTAGGTGATCCCTAGGTTTTCTTCTTGTTTTAATGGGTTCATGAACCTATAATAATCCTCAAAAAGAAATTCAGAAGTAATTTATGCCACATTGCCACCCCCTTGTGGCACAATTTGGAAGCAACTTGGGGAAAATGTTAAATAAATTGGGAGAGTAACAGAACCAATTAAACATGAACTTTAAAATGAACTTCACTATACAAATTTCTATAACAACTTAAAAGTTCAAGCCTCTCTTTATCTCCGCCAGTAGATCTGCATATATATTATCCTCTATATAGTCACAGTGTGCATACTGAACTTCTCCATGGAAATACTCTTGTGATCAAATTCTAGACGTGGAGAGAGTTCAAAGGGGACGAGGGCTTATCCAAGGGCTGACTTTATTCTTATTACTTAATCCGGATTCTGGTTTTTCCATTTTTCATTATTTTATATCAGTCTTTTCCTATGACTTTCATATTCACTTCATTGAATTACAGAACTGGATTACAGTAACAGAACAGTTTTCTAACTGTTGGGACATCTTCTTTTTGATATGCTTCTCAGGGTAAGTTCCCCAGAAAGGGAATTATTGGATCAAAGACGACGAACACAACACATGGCACAGTTAGAACTGAGAGCCTGCCATCAGTCTGTTCCACAAGGACTCACCAGTTTACAATTCCACTAGCAAAGCACGAGCATCTTTATTTCTCCACAACTCCACCAGTGCTGAGTTTTGTCATTTTTATTTTTGTCCCCAAACCCTCAGAAGAATAGAGTTTTAAATATGAATTTTTTTCTTTAGTTAAACAAACTTGTTCATCACATTTCCTTCAAGGTCTGATAAAAGTAAATGTATCCTCCCAAAGGTAAAGGCACAGCAAATGTGGCAAATGCTTTGGGTGACAGAAGCACGGCACAGCACTGGCTCTGCGACACTCTTCACCTGTTTTCTTTACAGGCCCCCTCTTCAGCGGTTACTCCAGCTCCTCCAACATCCTTAGGCAGGCCCTGACTACTTCTTCTGTCACTACCAACCTGATTGTCCTTCCTGGGCCTCAGGTAAGGGCCAGGGACTGGTCTGCATGTAGGCACAATATGGAATAAAAATTCCTTGGTCTCAGAAACATGTAGCCCCAATACTCTATGAAATAACTGTGTTCTAGAAACTTGTATTCCAAACACCAGAGCGTACCCACATTTATTCTAAAGTGGCAGGAGAAATAAAGCTGGACTTTAGTTTCTTTGTTTTGTAGATAGAAACATAGCTACCTTAAGTCTCCAGGAAAAAAGATACACTCAGCAGGATATCTGGGGAAGGAAGAGAGAAAATTCTTGATTTATAAAATTAAGCTCTGTGCTTGGCCTCAGAGGACAAATAAAACATAGTCCTTACCCCAAAGGAGCTTATGATCTAGTAGGTGAAAAGAACAAATTATATACAATTTCTCGGGTAAAGATCTCATATCTCAAATACATAGAGAAGTTTGTCAAATCTATAAGAATATGAGTCATTCACCAATTGTTAAGTGGTCAAAGGATCTGAACAGGCTGTTTTTCGATGAAATCAAAACTATATATAATCATATAAAAATGCTCTAAATCATTATTAGAGAAATGTAAATTAAAACAATTTTGAGATATCATCTCACTTATCAGATTGGCTAAAATGACAGAAGAGGAAAATGACAAATATTGGAGGGGATATGGAAAAACTGGGACATTAATACATTGTTGGTGGAACTGTGAATTGATCCCAAACCACTTTGGAAGCAATTTGGAATTATGCCCAAAGAATTATGAAACTGTGTGTACCCTTTGACCCAGCAACACCACTATTAGGTCCGTTTTCCAAGGTGATCAGAGAAAAAGGAAAAGAACTTTTACGTTCCAAAATATTTATAGCAGCTCTCTTTATGGTAGCAAAGAACTGGAAACTGAAGGGATGCCTGGTCAATTGGAGAATGGCTAAACAAGTTGTGGGATATGATCGTGATGAAATACTACTGCTACAAGAAATGATGAGCTCAATGACTTTAGAAAAACATGGAAAGACTTGAATGAAACAATGACAAGTGAAATGAGCAGAACCAAGAGAACGTTGTATACAGTAACAGCAATATTGTTTGAAGAATAATTGTCAATGACCAAATTATTCTGAGTATAGGTACTCAAATCAACTACATAGGACCTGTGAAGGAAGATGCTATCCACCTCCAGAAAAATAACTGATAAATAGAAGTATACATAGTATGGTATTACATATATTTTATAAATCTGTGTCAAATGTAGTTGGGGTGGAGAGAGAAGGATATAGTTCAGAACTTAAAATGTAACAAAAAAATAAATTAAACTAAAAAAATGAACAAAAATATGTAACATAATATAATTTAAAATGTGCTAAGTACCTAAGATGTACAAAATATTATATAACAGTTTAAAAGAGAGAGAGATCACTGAAAACTGGCAGAGAGGAGCAGAAGAGGGGAAAAGAGGTAAAGGAATCAGAGTAGGCTTCAAGGAAGAGGTAGCAGCTAACCTAGGAAGGATTTTAATAGGAAGGGAACGATTCTACACATAGGGGACAGTAGGACGACACAGAACAAAGTGACTACAGTGTTGAATTTGTACAGGGGAGTAACAGAAGACTCAAAAGTAGTTTGTAGCTAAATTACTTAGGAGTGTGAATGTCAGGCTAAGATAAGCACTTCCCAAATTGTGTTCAGAAAACCCCGATGTTTCATGCAATCCAACGCGATAAATGGCTGTTCTGAAATAAATTTGATTCTAGTAACATTTTATTTACATTTTAACTAAAAATAAATGCACTTTTGTGCACGGGACCCACATTTCCTCAACATTAAAATAGGCCTGATTTCCTGTTTTGTTTAAAATTGTTGGGGGTATTCTACAACCCTAGGCTCCAGACTAGCAATTATCGGTTTCAGCAAAACCCAACTATAACAGCTGACATTTAGACAGTGTGCAAAAGCACTTTACATACACCAATTTCATATGAATCTCAAAACAATGGGGGAGGCACACAGGTAGAGGCATTACTAGCCCCATGATACAGATGAAGTGACTTGACCATTGTTACTCTAATACTGGCTGTGTGACTAAAGAATTCAGCCTGTTCCTGGAGGCAATGGGGAGCCACTGAAGACTTTAGAGGAGGAGAGTGACATGATTGGAGCTGTACATTAGCACGTCTACTCTGGCAGCAGTACTAAGGAAGGATTAGAGGGGGAAAGGCTAGAGGCAAGAACTACTACTGTTGAGGTTACCGCAGTACTTCAAATCAAAGACTATGGGGAATTGAATTGTTAGGGGAGATGCTTCAAAGCTAGTATTAACTGAACCTGGATGTGGGGGGAATGAGGGAAAAGTCAAGTGAAAAATGACTGTGTCAAACCTAGTAGTAACTAGGAAAAATTTGGCAACATCAAGAGAATTAGAAAAAGGAGAAGGTTCTGACCAAGCATGCCTCTGTTCTAGATGTGAAGTCAGAAACGTGTGTGGAGGCAGCTCGGTGGTACAGTGGATAGAGCACCAGTCCTGGAGTCAGGAGGACCTGAGTTCAAATCTAGCTTCAGATACTTACTAGCTGTGTGACCCTGGGCAAGTCACTTAATGCTGACTGCCTCAAAAAAAAAAAAAAGAAACAGAAACGTGTGTGATGTCCACTGTGTGACCACGCATATTAGATTTCCTGCAGATGCAATGCACGTGTTAACCCTTCTTTTTAATGACCCCAAGGTGCACACTTGCGTGCGTGCATGCATGTGTATGTATGAATGTATGTGTTGGAAAAAAGAGGGACAGAAGCACCAGAAGGTCTGAAATGGGGCATAAATACCTTGTACGAAGTCTTGGTCATTCTCTGAAATCCGATCCCAGGCTTGGGGCAGGGTTTGGATGTTTGGCAAATTTCCCCACTGGATCTGGGAGAGGAGGTACTTCCTTTCCAGGTAACTTTATAGAGGTTAAGGACTCCCAAGAGTGAGATAAACATGCTGAACTTTAACAAATATTTAAGTGCCTTCCACATGCAGAACGCTATGCAAGATGCTAAGAGAGGTATCAAGATCATGCGAAACACAATTCCTGCCTTCATGTAGCTCCCAATCAAATAGGGGGATTAACACATAAATAAATAACTACCAAAAAAACCCAATACATTAGTGCAGAGGTAGGGAACCTGCAGCCTCCAGGTCACATGTGGCCCTCCAGGTCCTCAAGTGTGGCCCTTTGACTGAATCCAAACTTCACAGAACAAATCCCCTTAATCAAATGATTTGTTCTGTAAAACTTGTACTCAGTCAAAAGGCGCACCCAAGGACCCAGAAAGCCACTTGTGGCCTTGAGGCCGCAGGTTCCCCACCCCTGCATTAGTGTAATAAGACAGGTACATAGAGTATTGCTGGTACATCAAGGAGGGAAATGTTATTTGTCACAGAGGGGAAAAGCTTCTGAAGAGGTTCTGAAATATGCTTAAAGGATAGGTAGGATTTCAAGAGGCCAAGTTTGGGAGGAGGGAAGGAACAAGGGGGGCATTACAGTCATAGGAACAAAGGCACCAAAGCAGCCATACATACAGTAGGTATGATGGACAGCGAGTTAGCTTGACTGCAACAACACACATAGATGGGAGTAGTAAGAGATAAGACAAGGAAAAAATATTATGCTCCATATTAGGTAAAGCCTTGAACACCAAGATACAAATAGATTTCACTCAGCAGTCAATAGGGAGCCACTGAAGGGTTTGGAGCAGAGGCATGATAGGATTAGATCACTATATAAGGAAAATTAGCCTGGCCTGGGACGAGGAATTGAAGGATAAGGGAGTGGAAAGGGGAAGAGCCATTAGGGGGCTATTACAATAGTCTAGGCAGCTAATGGTCTCCTTGAAAATAACAATAGGAGCATAGCACTGGAATTCAAGATGATATTTCAGAGGCAGAACTAATAGGAATGAATTATCCATTCAACACGCATTTATTAAGCACCTACTATGTGCAAGGCACAGTGCATGGATATATAGCAACAAAATGACAAACAATTTGACTTCAAGGAACTTGAATACAACATTTAAACAGATAAATAAAATAAAATTTGACACAAGAGGTAGAAAGAGAGCATGACCAGTTAGGGGATCATAAAAGGGTTTCCAATGGTTGGAGGGTGTATGGTAGGGAGAAGGGGGAGGGATGAGTGGGCTACCTGAGTTAAGCCACAAAGGCAGCTAAGGATTCTCAGAGGCAGAAGTGAGAAGGGAAGGGGCATTTCAGGTATGCCAATTCTTGAATGTGGGGAGGTGAAAGAAGAGTCAGAGATGACCCCAAGAATTTGAGCCTGGGGGACTAGGAGCAGACTTTGTGTCATAAAGAAAAACAGGGAAGTGGGGAAGAGGGGATAATTCTGAGGGCAGGATTAGAATTTCCATTTTGGATCTGTTGAGATGCTGGTGAGATAAGCAGAAGCAGATTATCTTATAGGTGGTGGGTCTGTCACTCAAGTGAGAGGTCGGGGCTGAAAAGGAGACCCAGGCCTGAGCAGAATGACAGAGCAAGTGGAGGAGGTATAGGAAATCATTCAGGGAAAAGAAAGAGAAAAGAGGTTCAAAGCCAGAATTTGGGACAAAGTGCTCACCTTAGGGATTAGAAAGATGTGAAAGAGAGGGAGTGGTTACAGATACAAGAAAAGCAGGCGAGCGTGGTGTCTCTGAAGCTACGGGAACACAGGAGGGATCCAGAAGAAAAGAGTGGTCAACATTGGCAAATGCTGCAGAAGTCAGAAAGGGTGAGAGAAGAAAAATGGTGATTAAGTGGCTCCTGGTAAGCTCTAAGAGTAATATGGTAAAGTGATGGGGAAGAAATTATACTGCAAGGAGTTGGGGGGAGAATGAGTAGTGACAAGTCGGAACTACTGGGTGTGTATACTGATTTTCAAGAAGTTTAGCTATGAATGGGAGGAGAGAGATGAGAAACTGCTAATAATACTCCTGGATGAGGGAGGCAAAAGACTAAATATATGATGGCACTGTATATAAACACCCTAGTGGGTACCTTGAACATTGCTGATACCTAACCCCTAACTTCAAATGTAAATTAACAAAGCGGACAAACATCATTACATTTCACCCAAATACCAAGAGATGAACGTTAAGGACCACCAATATACTCTTTTATCCTATCAAGGTCTATTAGGGGAAAAAAAAGAGCACCACGGATGGACAGGACCATTGCTCCAGGTGGATAAGAGGCCAACTGATGACAAAAGGTGTCTGATGCTTATTTTGCTTGTTTTCTCTGCCAAGAAGAATGACCTGTGGACTAGCACGGACAGAACAAAAGTGGCTAAGAGGGAGCTGATAACAAAGATATGGAGATACTAGGAGAGGATCTAGCTGCTGAGACAGATAAACTACATCTGTGGTGGACATCAGTGATTTCAGAAAGGTGAGAGAGAACAGTAGGTATGTCCCAAGCCTAGGGAAGGCTAAGGGTCTTGATTTTCAAAAAAGGGAAAAGAATGGAGGCTGCAAGCTAGAGGCTGTCAAGCTTGATTCTGATTCCTGGAAAAATCCTGAAATACCTTATTAAATAAATGGGTGGTGAACATCCAGCCAAGGGAGCACTCACAAAGACCCTGAAGAACTCCTTCAAGCACAGATCAGGCCAGACTGACCGTATCTTCGTTTTTGGTCTAAAACTGACTCAATCAGGGTCGTGGGGCAAGTGCTAACAGCTTCTGCAGACTTTAGCATTAACTTTATCTCTTTCCTGATTGACTAGAAACTGACAGATCAATGGCGTCACATAGACAAGTTAGCCTAGATTTTAGCAACAAATTTGATAAATCTCAACCATATTCTGTGGAAAAGAGATGTGGCTTAAACAATGGTACAGTTAAGGGGCAGCTAGGTGGTATAGTGGATAGAGCACCGACCCTTGATTCAGGAGGACCTGAGTTCAAATCCGGCCTCAGACACATAACACTTACTAGCTGCATGACCCTGGGCAAGTCACTTAACCCCATTGCCTAGCCAAAAAAAACCAAAAAGCAAAACAACAATGGTATAGTTAAATATTCAGATGTGGTTGACTAGATAGACCAGACAGTAGTCATTACTCATTCACAGGCAACTTGGAAGGTCTCCAGAGAAGTGCCCTAGGGATCTGTACTGTCTAACATTTTTATCAATGACTTATATAGGGAAAAAGACGGCAGCCTTATCACACTTGTAGATGACACATAGGTGGGAGAGATAGCTAACACTCTGACTGACATAATCAAGGGCCAAGAAGGTCCTGAGGACATTGGGTTAAATCTAATGAGGTGAAATTTAATGGAGATAAATACAAAGTCTTAAATTTAGGTTAAAAAAAAAAAGCCATTTCCCAAATACAGGATGGGGAAGGCACAGACAGCAGTTTGTCTGAGAAACATCCAGGCCTTCTAGTGGACTGCAAACATGAGTTTTCAGTGTGACATGGCAGTCAACAGAGCTAATGCAATCTTGGGCTGCATCAAGCAAGGCATTACCTCCTCTAGGAACAAAGAGGTGATAAGTCAGAACAAATCTAGACTACTGTATTCAGTTCTAGGGAGGACCTAAGATGGAGTTTCCATAGGACAGCAACCAGCATGGTAAGGGGCCTCAAGTCCATGCCACTTGAGGACTGACTGAAGGAACGCGGAAAGTTTAGCCTGAAGAAGAAAGCACTGGGGGAAAGAGGTGGGAGGCATGGAAGATGGGTGACATGTGTGCTTAGCTGCAGAAGGCCTGACGTCAGGAGAGGCTTCTAACAAGCAAAGCTGCCCCAAAGTGAAATGGGAAGCCTCAGGGAGGAAGTGGCTTCTCTCGCACTGGACATCTTCAAGCAAAAATAGGATGACCATTTAGCAGGTTTCTAGAGATTCTTTTTCCAGCGTGGATTAGACTAGATCTCTGCCAAGAAGGTCCATTTCCACTCTGAAATCCTGTGACTATATGGCCCAAAACAACTATTTGTAAGCTGAAGGCATGTGGGTTTCCTCAAAGAGCCTACCATCCTCCCCAGTGATATCTGTGTGAAGGATACGAATTTCGAAAATGTCTGTCAATGTCCTGTAACCATGCCAGCATATCAGCCAATGAAGGGCTAACAGCTGAAGGCTGCAAGACTACATCAAGGTCTAGTTCATCTGCTTTCTGTTCATAGAGCTCAAACACTTGTTCCACATGGCTGCTGATTGTATCTCGCACCTGGAGGAGGCTGGTTCTGCAGGAAAAGAAAATGATGCTGAAACAGCTTTGGAAAGATGTACCGCATACTCCCAGCAACCCACATAGCCACTTGAGGTAAACAAAAGCTATGAATTAGTGAGAAGTGTGTCCCATTATTTCTGGCCACATTTTTTTATTTATTTTTTTTTCCTGGCCACATTTTGAGAGAGCAAGCTGGAGCGTGAGGTGACCGGAAATCACGTAACGTCAAGACCAGCTGAGGGATTTACCATGGAGGAGATCTGGTGGTGTAAGGAGGCAGTGATCATTGCCTTTAGTGCTCTGAGGGATCACACCTGCTCTGTTTGGCCCTATAAGGCAGAACTAGAGGTGATAGGGACAAACTTTAATTCAAAGTTCAAAGGTAAAAGTCTCTAGTGTGAGGACTGGTCAGTAGAATGGGTGGGCTCTGGTGTATCCCCAGCATGAGATGTCTCCAAGTAGAGGCTGAATGATCATTTCTCAGGAATATCACAGAGAGATCACTCTGCAGATAAAGGCTAAACTAAATGACCTCTAAGGTTCCTTCCAATTCAAAGTGTCTATGATACATATTAAGAATTTCATGGGCTAGGTGGTGTAGTAGATACAGCGCGAGCCCTGGCGTCAAGAGAACCTGAGTTCAAATTTGGCCTCAGACACTTACTAGATGTGTGATCCTGGGCAAGTCACCTAACCCTAATTGCCTCCTCCACAAAAAAAAGAACTTTATGAGATTTCTTATCAATACCCTTCCTAAAAAGTTCTTCTGCTCTTGAGGCTTTCTAACAAATGTTTTTGTCTTAATAGCTATCACAGCTTTAGAGCTGAAACAGAGCTTAGAGATCATCTAGTCCAATCCTTTCATTTTACAGATGAGGAAACTGAGGTTCAGAGAGATGAAGAGATTTCTCCATCATCACAGTGCTAGTAAGTGGCATTTCAACTCAGGTCCTGACTCTAAATCCAGTGTTCTTTCCACCGTACCACCCTGCTCCATACATTAAGCCTCATGCTTTGGGTCACTAAATTCTAGGACAAAGGGACCTGGAGAACACGAGGAAAGGAAGGGCACAGAATACATGTCTCAAAACTCGTCCATGTTAAGCTATGAAAAGGAAAAAGACCCCTTGGTTGGAGATCAAACTGGCTGCTTACAAATACGAAACATTAAATTCTTTTCCTGCACAAGAAACATGTCATGGCATCTCTTACAGCTTCTCTCCCAACTGGTCCAAGATGGCGTCCCCAGCAGCCAGCAGTTTTCGTCTCAAGCAGTCTTTCAGGTCAGGGAAAGCCCGGAGTGGGGTCTCTTCCAGCTGCACATTCTGACTGGCCTGCAGTTGCTCCGCCAGGTTGCTAAGGGAGGTCAGGAGGGGTGAGCAGTCACTCACAGTACTCCTCCAGAGTCCATGCTGGTGCTGCACCACACAGAAAACCTTCTTCAGAACTTCCTGCACAGCGGGCAAAGGCTCCCTGGGAGACATCTTTTCTGCATCTAAAACCAATCAACTATTAGCAAGCCTCAACTACAGAACCATTCAATCCAACACACATTTACTAAGCATCTATTACAGGCCTTCACAACATTTGGCCATTGGCCACTTGCAGTCCAAGAAAAATGTAGAGGATGTAACTATGGCTCAGGTCATCCTCAGGTCCCTAAGCTGTTCTCAGACAGAGCTAATAGGGCTCACTGGCCCTTTAAGAAGAAATGATTAAGAGGCCTATTACCCTTGGCAGGCCAGCACAACATACCACATGTTGTGTAGGCCTGATCTATTACATGCAATGCACCAGGCTAAGTGAGGATAGAAAGATAGATACAACCCAGGTCCTGCTCTCAAGGAGTTTACAATCTATTTGGGGAAACACACGGATCCAGATTATCATGAAAAAAGAGAGAGAGAGAAGTACAAATTAAATCCAGGCAAAGTGCTATTAGAAATGTAAGGAGGCAGAGATCACTATCAGGGAGGGAAGAGGCATCAAGGAAGGAATTACGGAAGATGTGATACCCAAAATTAGGCAACAGATTGAAAGAAAGAGGGTCCATTTGAGCGACTGGGTCAGCATGAGCAAGGAGATGGCAAAGGTCAAGATGATCCTAGAGAATGCAGAATAGGCCAGTCTTGGAAGGCGGGGGAGGGACAGGATAAAGAGCATGCAGGGTAGGAGTTTTAGAAGCTGGAGCCCGCCTTGGGGAACTTCTAATGCCACGATCTAGAGCCTATACTCTCTTCAGTAGACAAGAGTCAAACAAAGGTTTTTAAGCAAATGAGGGATATAAACAGAAAGACTATTAGGAAGGTCACAGAAGAAACATTACATAAGGTGGTTTAGAGTAGAGCCTAGCACCAGGAATATAGTCACACTCAGGACTATAATAATAATAATAGCTAATATTTAGTGCTTTAAAGCGTGCAAAGTGCTTGGCAAATGTTATCTCATTTGATCCTAACAAGAACCCTGTGAAGTAGATGTTACTAATATCCCCACGATATGCTTGCCCGAGAATTGCATCTAGCTAACCACAAGTCAAACAACTATTAATCAAGTGGCAGAAATTGGAACTTATTAACAGTAAGTTTTATTGCCCAATATGATACTCCATGCAAGGTGTACAAAGGCAATTAGTGCTATTCAAAGTCTATTTAATCAAGTAGTAAGAGAACTTTCCTGGATCTACAACAATCTCTAGAACTGATATGGAACAGATTTTATGGAGCCCAAATGGCAGCTGACACATGCCAGTAATAAGTTTTGAGCTGAGAAGCTCAGCGGGATGTGGGCACTGAGAGCATAAGCGCCAAGAACACTGTCTCAATACAGAGGTATTAAAGCCAGCTTTGTAGAACCTCCAGTGCCAGTATGCTATGCTTAGATGCCTGGCCAAACTCTTCTGAGTTCAGTTCAGGGCATAAAAATGAGGATGAAGATTACAGATAAAGATCCAAAGAGCCTGGAAAGGTTCAGGCTGCAGCGGCTCTGGCTATCTCCTCTTCTTTTCCTATGCAATGCATGTCTCTGCTACTTTACCTCCAGGTATGACAGTGACAAGCTCACGATCTGTCTCCCTTGGGGAACCCCACGTGGTCTACAGCTGAGTACTGTGCTGCTTGAGGTACAAGACATAAACAACATTCAAGAAGGGATGTGAGAGTTGTGACAGGCTAGTCTGCTGGTTCAGACTCAGAACCACATTTTAGGGAAATGCTGGAGATATAGTAGTGAATCAAATGATGGTACAGCCAGATAGATTTGAAGCGGGGTGAATTCATGGCCAGACCTAAAGAGCATCATTCAAGGCCTGATGTCATCTTATAGGGCCACAGCTTTCTATCCTTGGCCCCAGGTGGCTTTAACATGTTTACCAATGATCTGCATTTAGGCATATATAGAAATACCTATAAACCTTGGAGATAAAAAAGAAAGCTGGAAGGGACTGCTAAATCACTACATGATAGAACTGGAATCTGGATCAACAAAGGACAGGCAAGAACTGGCTGAGCTCCATATGATGAAATTTAAGTGACACATAAAAAGTCTTATTCTTTGGTTTTAAAAAAAATCAACTTTATAATAGCTTTGTGAAAAAAGATCTGGGAATTTTACTCGGTTGCAGGTTTGCTTGGCATCAAGAGAGAACAATGCTTATGTGGTCACTAAAAAAGCTAAACTTAGGCTGCATTAAGATACCCAAAACCTTAAGAAAAAAGAATTTGAGAGGCCCACTGTATTCTGTCCTAGTCAGACCATACCTGGAATATTATGTTTGGTTCTGAGTGTCACACTCAGAAAGAAGGGCACCAACAAACTCTGGAAAGCATCAGAGAAGGGCAACCAGAGTGGAGAGTTTTAAGTTAATGCTACATGAGGATGAGTTAAAGGAACTGGGAGGTTTAGCCTGAAAAAGAAGACTTGGGGGAAAGCACAACAGGAGTCTTCAAAAATATGAAGGGTTCTATCGTTTGGAAGAAAGATTAGAACCTTTCTGCTTCTGCTTGGCCAAAGGATGGCAGAGTTTGAGGCATGGGGGATGAGGGTGGGGGAAAGTAAGGGGGGGGGAGAAAGAGACAGAATTGCAGGGAATCATTTCAGCTAGACGTAAAGAAAAACTTCCTAACAACAAGAGCTATCCCAAAGTGGAATGGATGGCCATGGCTCCTCCTTACTAAAAGGTCTTTCAAACAAAGGCTGGATTACTACTTTGGGGAGATATTGTACAAAGGCTAGATGTTGGACAAGATGATCTTTGAGATCTCATTTCCAAATGCCCATCACCAAAGGGGACTGCTACAGCTACTTGGACTACGGAAAAACAATGCCCCTGTGGAAGGCCTAAACTTACACTTCTGCTACATCTTTGAAATACCTGATATTTTTAACACCTTGAAGTCTGCCAAACCCTTAACATACATTACCTCATTTGACCCTCATTCAACAATTCTGTGAGGTAGCTACTTGTAACAGGTGCTATTATCCTCATTTTACAGAGAAGTAAACTGAGGCTGTGAAAGGTGAAGTTATTTGCTTATGGATCACACAGCTAATAAGTGTTAGAATCTAGACTTGAACCCAGATCTTCTGGACTCCAAATCCAGAACTCTAACTATTATGCCACATTGTCTTTTACAAGACAGAGGTCTAGTCACTAAAGCTAAGGGCAACAGGCAGCCCTAATAGCCCTCAGGTGTTCATGGGCCTAGACCTTAAGCTGCTATCCACTGCTCCTACGTTCTCTGAAAAGACCTTCAGCACACATCAGAGAAACAAAAAATTCTCTTGGGGGTGACTACTTGGCATAGGGGACAAAATGCTTGGCTTGGAGAAAAGAATTCAGCCTCAGACACCGAGGATCTGTAGTTAGCAGGTGAGCAGGTCACGACTTTTGTCATCTGTGAAATGAGGGGCTTTGTCGCCTTAGCCTTTAAAGCTCCTTCCAGCTCTATGATCCTCTTCTCCTGTTCACGTCTGGGAGATAACAATGAAAGAATGGAGAACTCTAGGGACTGGCCCTGGCAAGGCCTGAGAGACCAGGAAATTCTGCTATGAAGGGAAGGGAATCAGCATTTAATAAGCACTGTGTTAAACACTTTACAAATACTTCATTTGATCCACAAAGAACAGAAAGTTCAAGACCCCTGTCTTGAAAGGATGTGGCAGGAAGCCTCTACATAAGAATTCTCATATTGGGGTTGTGCCTAATGCTTTACATGTATCTCTAGGACTAATGGGTACTCATTGCAGTGTTACTATTTTGTTTGCCTTTTTTAATAAAACTTTTGTCCATAACATTTTGAACTGTGTGTGTCTGCATGGGAGAAACTTATTCTCAGCATGCTGGGAGTACCTTTCCCCAAATTTTCTAGGTAGGGGACAACGAGCTAGGGGAATAGAAAATAGCCCCCAAAGTGTTTCTGTGTCTTTCCTATACTGATAGAATCCCTAACAAGAGGGTTACAATTAAAACTCAACTGCTCTTGAGATGGACATAAGCAGTCAGGCAGCCAGGATGGAAGTCAAGCAATCAAGACACTAAGAGCATGAGTTAATGTTAACATACTACTAATTGACATTTATATAGTGTTTTGAGAAACATCACGACCCCACAGATGTCTTGCTTGGGAGTCAGGTAGACTAGGGTTCAGGTTCTGCTTCTGACACTTGACTGGCTGTATGGCCACTGTCAAGTCACTTAAACTCTCAGTGACCTAAGCAACTAAAACATAAAAACAAAATACAGAACTGTTGCAGGCCTGTAGTGGTGGAAGGAGTTTCCGCACTGGGAGATCCCCAGGTCAATGACACAGATATATACAAATAGCACGGTACATTCATCACTTCAACCTCACAAACCTGCAGATAAAGACAACTATTGTTAATTTCATTTTACAGTTGGGGAAACTGAGGCTTAGAGGGGTGAAGGGACCAAAGTTAGACTCCAGTCAGGTCCCCTGACCCCCTATCTTGCCCGTTTTCCACTCTGCCCACAGCATAGCCCAAACCAGACGGGACTTGGGGTCAGAAGGCCTGGCTCTGCCAATGAGTCGCGGTACTTCCTGGTCTCTGGGCCTCAGTTTCCCCATCCGTCAAACGCCGAGGTCGGAGGGGGACGACCTCTGATCCTGGCCGGCCAGGAGGGTGGACAGTCTCTCTCCCTACCTCAGCAACCCCCAACCCACCCCCTAGATCCTCACTGCCATTTCCAACACCCCAGGAGCCTGAGAGACGCCCCCAACGTGCTACTCACCATCTCCTCCGAGCTTCCTGCTCCCCAATGCGCATGCCCGAAAGAGGCTACCAACGGATAGAAACGAGCAAAAGGAACTAGCTCAGTTTACACAGCCGCAGAAACACGTGACCCTTGCCGCCAAACCTCCTGGGTGTTGTAGTCTTGCCCGCGGATTGGCTGGTCCAATTGTGGAAGCGCCTGATGATTGGCTCTTCCGAGAACCCCTCGCGCCCGCTCTGGAGTGGGACTTCTTATTGGCTGTCCAGGGGCGGTTGAGTTTGAATCCGCCGGACGAGGCAGCGACTCCATTTAACATCCCGGAGACCGGTGGGTGGATCCGGTTTGGTCATTGCCCACTTCTTTGGGACCTCGTCTTTCTCTGCAGTAAGGGGCCGGACCGGAACAGTGGGCCTTTCCTCGGGCGCGGGAGCACAATCTGCGGAGCTGACCTTTCCGGGCTCCCGCCCGCCTCACGCGCCGCCGCCGCCCCGGTCTGCCGGATCGCGCGGCATCTTCTCCGCCTCGGCACCATGGCTCCGTCGAAGAAGGCCTCGAGCCGGACGACCAAGAAGAGCGTGGTGCGGGGCAGAAAGCTCGCCTCCTTCCTCAAGGACTTCGACCGTGAAGGTAACTCTACGGGCCCCGAGGCTCGGCCTGGGCCTGGAGGAGGGAGACAAATGGAGCCAACTAGGTGCGCCCGCGGAGAAGAGGGGAGCGAGGCCGGGGCAGAAGGTGTCGGGGCGGGGCCGCCTGCACTCGCGTTGCCCGGGGTAACCGCGGAACGCGTTGGCGGGGGAGGGAGCGAGCGTAGAATCCGCTGCCACCGGATATTTACCGGCTCCTTTTCAGAGGGCGGGGCAGGTGTTTGAAAGCATCATCCCACACCACTACTTCCTAGCGCTCTGGGGGTACACTGACAAAAGCGGAACTGCCCCTGCCCTCCTGGAGCTTACTTTCTTTCAGGGGAGGGGGCGATGACTGTATGCTAATATCTTACTGGTATCCTTGGGAACTTGATCCGAGCCCTTCCCCAGGACCCAAAACTCCCCACTTCCTGCTACAAGTAAGTACGGGCAAAATAAATATAAGGTAATTTGGTGGGGAAGGACATTGAAAGGAAGGAGGGGTCGAAGAATCAGAAAAAACAGCCGTTTAACTGAATTTCGAAGAACACTAGGAATACTGCTGCATCCCAGATATGGGGAATTGCTAATGCCAAGTCGTGAAAATGGGAGATGGGAGAAGGCTAATTTGGCTGCACTGTAGTAGAGTATGGGAAGGGGAGTGATATGTAATGAAAAAGGTCGGAAAGATCTGTGAAGGACTTTAACTGCCGAACAGAAGAGCTTATATGGTGTGTCCCAAAAGTCTTAGGCCACTTTTAAAGCTTTATTGGTTTATTAAGCTTTAAAGCTTAAAATGTGTATTAAGACTTTTGGGACAGCCTGTATTTGATCGGAGAGGTGTTGGAGTTTGAATAGGGGAGTGATGTGGTCAGACCTTAAAGAATCTTTAAGGGGAATCCCTTTGGCAGCTGTGTGGAGATGTAATCCATTCGAGGAACTTTTTTGAGGTGCCTGTTCTCTGCAGGACACTGAGAAAACTCAGCAAGATGTGATCCTAGCCCTCATAGAGCTCCATGTATAGTAGTAGATGTAAGACAAAGATGCAGTGTTATACCTTGCATATACAACTAAGCTCCTCGAAGATGTTTTTTTTTGGTTTGTTTTTGTCATTCTTTGTATCCCCAGTCTTAGTGGAGTTCCTGGCATAACGGTAAATGCTTGGTAAATACTTGTTAATTGATGGAAGTGTATAAAAAGCAGTATAGAATGTTCTTTAAAGTTTGAGAAAGGGGAGGGACCTGGACTGGGGCCCAAAAGCTCTTTGTTGTTTTCTTGGCGTTGCCTCTAATTTGTTACATGACTTAGGCAAATCTCTTATCCTCAGGACTTTGTTTCTGCTCTGGAAAACTAGAAAGCTAAAAATCATTCCAAGGAACATCCATCTATCTATTAGCTATGAGAGTGGTAATTACAGAAATGATGTAAAAAATGATTTCCCCAAAGTATAGAGTTACAGAAACAAAAATGTTGTATTCATTCACATTTACTTCAACATTTAACGTGCTGTTACCCATTAGTATAGAAACTCCCTTGAGGAGTATAGCTCGTGACACACTATTGCATCTTCTCTAATTCTTGCCCATATCCTTCCACAAGCCCTTGATAGAGGATCTCCTCCTTATGTTGGGGTCTTTTTTCTAGTTCCTTTAATGTTTCTTGAATACCAATGTAATACTTAGGCTATCCATCCAGTATCCCTCTAGTTACATAGCTAATCTACTGCCTTTTCTTTTCAAATATGTTCTTGTTCTATATTTTACCACACTTTCAGGGGTGAGTTGTCATTGGAACATAATCATAATAAAGTTTGCAAAGCATATTACATACATTATCTCATTTGATCTTCACAACTGCTTGTACTCTACTTATACTTACACTGTGCATCTTTCCATTGGCTCATCTGCAGTTTTGATTTTTCAGAATTCATGGTGTTTGATTATTTGTTAACTGGGTAGTGTCACAGGGAGAATATTAATATTAAAAAGATGTGCTTTGACAATAGGTAAACAGTTTAGGGTTGTTGAAAATGCTACATAGTTTCCCAAATGCAATAGGACCCAGTATCCTTGGTAATTTTATACTCAAGATATATGTGCTATCCATCCACCTTCATATTATAATTGAAACAATGTGCATTCTTTATACACTTAATGGTTTGTTTGTTTTTTTCCTATCTGGATAATTAGACTAATCTCTTTCAAGTAGTCATGGTTCTTATTAGGAAGTTTCCAACAAGATAGAACCCACACCTATGCCATAGTCCAAGATTGCTGGGGAGATGAAACCACAAAGATAACTTTGCTCAGTGAACTTCTATCAATATTTTCAAAGTCATAAAACAATACGACACCCAAATCCGTGATTGATGTTAGACTCAGGAGTCAGGACGATCTGTGTTTTGAGTGCCCACACCAGCAATTGATAGCTATGTGACCACACACAAATCTTTTAACAGCTCTGAACCTTAGTTTCTTCATCTGTAAAATGAGGATAGTAATACCTTTGTGAAGGATCAAATGTAAAGCACTTTGCAAACAATAAGGGCAATAGAAATGGTCCCCAAAAGTTATTTGCCAGTACCATGGAAGATATTTTGTGCAAAGGCCAAACAGAAGAAGGAGTTCCCTATAGATTCTGAGATTGTTCAGAGGCTTCTCTTTGGAAAGTACATGTAGGTTTTATTCAACCCTGAGATCTTCTGATATACCAAACCATTAAACAAGATTTAATGACACACTTTCCTTATGCTTGTTATTAACTAAAGAACTTGATGTTTAGCTGTAGTACTTTTGTGTTCAATTGCATTTGGTCATCCAGCTGAATGTTTGTCATCTGTTACTTTAGGGATGTTAATAGAGTAATGTGAAATATTTGATCAGCTACATGGCTCTTGGAATGCATGAGGCCCACTTTAAACAGTGAGGCAGTTTTGTTAGATTTACTGTAATTCTATTACATTGCCGTTGTGATGGTTTACGGAAAGTTATTGCACAAAATCCTTAAAAAAAATCAGAATCACCTTCATTGTTATCAGCTATACCCCTGTTTTTTTAAATGAGTATACTGAAAGGCCCAATGTGGTCTCAGGGCTACTGGTTTCCTAACCCTAAATGATCCCCATCATCTCTGAAATTCTGGGAATCGTTTTTGCTAGGAAAAGGATCAGAGATGACTGCTGACATTGGCCTTCTTTTGTACAATGAAAAGGCAGTGTCACAGGAGGAACACGAGACCGGAGTTTAGCATCTGTTTTAGTTCAGGCTTTTACCACTAACTTGCCATGGGATCTTGGTCATATTACCTCTCTAAACCTCTACTTTCTCCTTTCTAAAATAGGACAGCAATACTTGTCTTGGCTACTTCCCTTTCCTCCTTGTTGTGAGGAAAGTGCTGCATGTATATAAACTCTTACTGTTTACACGAACACTTCTATCTGAGTGACTGAACAGTTTCAGACAACCTCCTCAGATGGTGTCTCCTATTGCCCCTCTTCCCTTTAGCCCTAGGGACTGCTCTGCCTGAGGTGAGGCGGCTGACTGGGATGCTGTAGAGCCACTTTAGTGAAAGATATATATCTCTGTAAGACAAAACCATGGACTACAGCAAAACCTGGAATCCAGAGCTCAAAGGGTCATCTTTGATTATGTCTCAGAAACCAGGAGCTGTCAGTTTTGCTGGGGTTGGGGATAGGGTGGTTACCAGGTAGTTTGAAGATGGTAGAAAGGTTCATTTCTAAAGTATGCAAAATTATTAAGGCTTTTGATTGCTGTCCTGTTTTATGTAAAATGACCTGTTCATATTTTGTTGTTTTTTTTTTTTTTAATCCTTTCTTACAGTACAAATTAGATCGAAGCAAATACAGTCAGATGCCCAGAACCTCATCAAAGAAGTAGACAATCTTTACAACATTGAAATCCTCCGGCTTCCCAAGGCCCTTAGAGAAATGAATTGGCTTGAATATTTTGGTAAGATGTTGCTCCTCTCCTAGCCGTTAACTGAAGTATAGAAGCATTTTGAGGCTCACGTAGTGGCTCAGGCTCCCTGCTGCTGCTGGTGCTGTTTGTGCTAGTTTTACAAGGTTGTCAGAGTCTTTGAAACCTCTGACACAATACAGAATGTAAAGTAATAGGCGTTGTAGCCAATTTAGAAAGGTCTTCCTAAAGCACTGTCAGCAGCATTTTGAAATGATTGCTAGTTAATGAGAAACCACAGCTTGCAAAGAAGTATACAGACTACCAGCAGTCCTCCATTTTAAAACCCAGTGGGCCTTATTTATTAACTAGTTACCTTAATCTCCCAATTTTTCCTAGATACTTAAGTGGCTTCTTTGTGAAGCTACAATATTAAGCTACAACATTAGGTTGAGTCTTCCAAAGATGCTTCTGTTGTTGAATAAATGATTATCCACATATGTTAGTTGCTAAAGAGGAATGTTCTTTTTGTAGCTCTAGGAGGAAGCAAACAGGCCCTGGAAGAAGCAGCTACGGTAAGTGATTTGTCTCATTTGATTTTTGTGGAAGTTTCTGTCTTTATCAAATCCAGGAACATTTGTTGAACTATTCTGCCCAAGGCAGTGTTCTTATGAAGAGGACATTATGTAGGTACAACCAGTAAAGACAGAAGGATCTCTGGGCTCCGCAGGGATTCTCCTGTTCTGGTAGGCCTTGTTTGTTTTATTGGTGGTTTTTTTCTTTTACTTCATAACAACTACCCTTCATAAACCCTCCTTTGTAACAAAGGAAAACAGACTGTTTTGACAGCATGTATAACATTCTGTGCTTTTACCTCTGCTGAGAGGAGGGGGAGTGTGTTTCATCCCTGGTACCTTGGATCCAAGGTCAGTTATTGCACTTAATTTGAAATTTAATATCTTTTAATATGTTATTGTAGTCATATATATTATTTATTTAATCCTGCTTACTTTACACTGCATCAGTTGGCAAAAAGTCTTCCCATTTTTTTGGAATCCTGAGATACATCATTTCTTAATGGTGTGATACTATTCTGTTACATTTACGTGCCACAATTTGGGCCAGTTGTGGTGATGCCCTGAGTGTGGTCCCTGCTACCAAAGCTCAGGCTGATGTATTGCTTATGTCTGGGATTATTGAGCTGCAGGAGGGCGAAGGCCAGTCAGGTATCTGCACTGAATTCAGCAACAATATGTTGAGTCCCTTGGAGCAGAGGCCCACCAGACTGCCTGAGGGCTGAACTGATAGGTTAGAAACAGAACAGGTCAAAACTTCCATGCCAGTCTGCAGTGGTATTGGGCCAGTGCTGCTGCACTTCCACCCTGCTCATCTTCCCCCAAAAAGCCGCAGTTTGTCTGGTTATTCATTCCCCAGTCAGTAGGCACCCACTGTATCTAATTCTTGCTGCCACAAAAAGTGTTTCTATGAATATTGTGATACATATTAGACTTTTTCTGTCTTTGATCTTTTTTTCATTATATATCTAGTACAGGGATTGCTGGGGTCAGAAAGTATGAATAGTTAAGTAATTTTCCTCTTATTTCAAGTTGTTTTCTATAAGTGTTGAAAAACGCTGTTTCCCACCAATAGTAAATTAGTGTGCTTGACTTCCCATAACCCTCTAGCATTGATTATTTTTGTTTTGTATCATTACCAGCTTGATGGGCATGAGGTAAAACCTTGGGGTTATTTTCATTTGCATCTTATTAGCAATTTGTATCTTGGGTATATGGCAATTTTATCAGAAACGCTTGTTACAAAGGTTTTTTCCCCCTGCCATCAGGCTTCTCTTATGCTTTATTCTTTGTTCTGTGAAAATTATGTAATCAGGATTGTCTGTTTTTTCTTCTTGTTTGTTTGCCTACAAAGTTCCCCCCAGCCATAATTGTAAAAGATATCTCCTTGCTTTCTCCAGCCTTTTTTTTTATTAATAATATGGCTTCTTATTTTTAGATTGTATGTCTATCTGGCTCTTATTGCGATATAAAATGCTAATCTTAAACCTATTTTCTGCCAAATTAGTTTTCAGTCTTCCCAGAAGTTTTGTTGAATAAGGAATTCTTCCTCTATTAGTTCATGGGTTTATTGAACATTGAGCTACTGTGTTCATTTGCTTCAGGGTTGTTGTCTCTTCTGATAAACTCCTAAGTGTGATGGCTTGTCCTGCTTTCTGTTCTCTTTGTAGTGCTGGCTCTTGAGTTCTTCAGTGGGATTAGGTAATCTCAAACCCAGATTTATTTTTAAATTGATTTACCTATTGCACTCATCTTTATTGCATAGGCCTTGGGATAAAACACATAATTTGTTTCAATTCTTAACCATTGGACTTTGCTAACCACAGAATGATTGAAACCATGATTCTCTGCTATGGGTTGTCATACACTTGGAGTTTTCAAATTGAAAGGGACTTCGGGTCATCTAGTCCAATCTATTCCAAAAGCTATGATGCCCTGTCTGTCTGTGTGACATTCTTAACAAATGTTTATCCAGCCTTTGCTTAAAGTCTCCATTGAATTGAAAAGGACTAAGAACCAGGAGGAGGACTGGAAGGAAGCAGGATCGCTAACAAATGCTCATACTGTGGGGTGTTTGTGCTTCACCACTTGCGTACAAAGTACTTTGCATGCATTACCACATGTGATCATCATAGCCCTCCTAGGAGATGCAAGGGTTACTATCCCCATTTTATAGTTCAGGAACCTGGAGGCTTGAAATCACATGGTAAGAGGACAGAGCCAGATCTTGAACAGCACAAAGGATCTTGGCATATAAAACAGAACTTTCCTCAACATAACAACATAAAAGTGGTTTGGCAAACAAATAGAGATCCACCTTCTTCCAGCAGCAAACTGAAGTGATTTAGATGTGAGGTTTAGAGGGAGATGTGATGGGAGAGGGGTGAGGTCATTGTACAAAAGATGAGTCTAAGGAGTAGCAAGGGGTCCACAGGCCTCTAGTTTTTGTGTTTTCTGTTACTGTAATGAGAGAGCTGGGAAGTAGAAGGATCCATATTTATCAGAAAACAATGAGCAAGTTGCAACTAATTCTTAATAAGGTAAACGAATTGTAGTATATACCTTGGCCTGTTGCTTTGAAGAACAGCACATAAATTTTCTTGGTTATGACTAAATTCCAATTCATTTTAGCTTTATAAGTTCATGTGAATTATCTTTTTTTTTTTTAAGTGATTAATGTCCATACACTTTGACCCATAGATCCTACTGCTAGGCATATGTGCCAAAGAGGTCAAAGACAGTCAAGTCAACAGCACCTGTTGTATTAAGCACCTGTTCTGGGGGTAGAGCCAAAATGGCAGAGTAGAAGGATGCAATGCAGTTGAATTCTTGTCCACAACTCCTCCAAACAGATTTGTAAAATGCACCAGACTGAATCCTGGTGGAGAAATCCAGAAAAAGTCACAGTGAGTTTTTTATCTGGCCCAGGTCAGCATAAATAAGGAGCAGACACTGGAGACGAGTCAGGGCAGGAGCACAAAGCAAATAGCACTCCTGTACCCAGGGAAAGGCTGCACTCCAGCATAAAAAGAAGTCCCAGACCCATAATGGGAGACCCTGAGACCCATACTAGGGCACTACAATGGAGACAGGTGCCAACTGACAGCTTTGTTGACCACTATCCAAGATGGAGTGAGAAGGGGACCTTTGTACAATGTGGAGAGGCCCTGAGAAAGAAGGGATCTCAGATCTCAGTGACAAATCAGGGTCTCACTTCTTGCATCTGGACTAGCCTGCAGAGGAATAACCAAAGCAAGAAACCCAGACCAAAATGGGAGGGGAGAGGGGTCCTACGATTCTGTCATTTTAAACCAACAGCACTTTCTGACCAGCCTACCAGGGTGGAGTCCAGCAGCATTCTGCTCTTGCACAGTTCTAAACCTCGGTCAGGAAGTTGCAGAGCTCAGAGTAGGGGGGTGGGGTGAGGGTAGGGGGGCAGAAATCAGATTTTGCCCAGAATCAGACCACTTGGGGAGCACTGGAAGCTTACAAGTCACCATCCTAGCCTGAGATGCTAGAATAACATCACACTCAATACCCCCAAGAAAGTAGCAATAGGACCAGCCCAGAACTTCCCTCCAGTAGTGCTACAGAGAGCCAGCTCTAACATCATATCCAACGTCAGGAAGTAGGCTGGAAGAATGGACGAACAACAAAAGAACGAAAACATAGTGAGCTCTTATGGTGGCAGGTATGTTTAGGATACAGACATAGAAGCAGCACATGACTCCAAAACATCCATAAGCACTGCCTTAGGAAAACAGAGGCTGGGCAGAAACTCAACTAGAACTCCTGGAAGAGATGAAGCAAGTGTTAAAAAAGGTTTTCATAAACAGAATGAGAGCAGTTGAGGAAAAAACTGGAAAAGAAATGACAGCCAGAGAAGAATTGGAAAGAGAATTAACAATGTGGCACAAGAGGTAAAAATCCTTGCCCAAGTGACAAGCTCCCTTAAAATTCAAATGGACCAAATAGAAACCAATGATTTAATGAGGCAACATGAAAATTAAATCGAAGTCAAAAGGCTAAAAAAAGAAAGAAAATGTAAAGACTCTCATAGCAAAAACAACTGACCTGGAAAACATCAAGGAAAAAAAAATTTAAGAATCGTTGGGCCACCTGAAAGCTATGACCAAAACCAGCATCTAGATATCCGATTTTAAGATATCTTGAAAACTGCACAAATCTCTTAGAACCAGAGGGCAAAGTAGAAAAAGAAAGAATCTACTAATCACCTCCTGAAAGAAACCCCGACATGAAAACTCCCAGGAACATCATAGCCAAAATCCAGAGCTTTCAGGTCAAAGAAAAAATGCTACAAAGTAGCCAAAAAGAAAGAATTCAAGTACCTAAGGATTCAGAGTCAGGATCACACACAGTTTAGCAGCCCCCAGTATAAAGGAGCAGAGAACTTGGAATATAATATTCCAGAAGGCAAAGGAAATGGTCTTACAGTCAAGCACAATTTATCTAGCAAAACTAAACATAATACTACAGGGGCGGAAATGGACCTTTTAATGAAATAGAGGACTTCTAATCATTCCTGATGAAAAGACCAGAGCTGCAGGGAAACTCAAAGGTGTGAAGGGAAGCATAAAAACGTAAACATGAACAGACAATGATAAAGGACTAAATGAGGATAAACTTTTCATTCATATATGGGGAGATGATGCATGTGACCCCTCTGAGCCCTATCATCTTCAGAGTTTATAGAGGGAGTCCAATTAGACAAGTCTCTGGAGTAGTTCAAGTAGTCTTGATATTCTCAAGAAAAGAATAGAGAGGGAAAGAAGAATGTACTGCAGGGAGAAGCAAAAGGAAGGTTAGGGGAAATTACCTCATATAATCAAAGTGCACAAGTAGATATCTATACAAAGATATCCGTACAAACAACAAGTAGGTGAGTGGGCAGCATGTGAATCTCATTCTCCTCTACACACACACACACGCACGCACACACGGCCATTTTACTCAAAAAGAAAATAGGAAAAAGGGAAAGTAGATGGAGGATCGATTAAGGGAGGGATCAGTCCTAAGCAAAACAAACTCTAAGGATGTACAAAGCTATAGCTCTTTTTGAGGTGGTAGAGAATGGGAATCTGAGGCAGTGTCCGTAAATTAGAGATGGATGAACAAGTTTTGGCATATCATTGTGATAGAATACTATTGTGTTGAACTTTTATCAGTGTAATAGCCACCCAGGATTCTAGAGGACTAATGATGAACCATGCTACCCACCTCCTGGTAGATGTGAAAGACTCAGAATTCAAAATGAGACAAATTTGGGTTTGTTTTTTTTAGGGGAGAGGGTAGATAAGGGCATTGTGGACATTTGTTTCAATTGACTATACAGGTTTGTAATAGGTTATTTTTTTGTGTGTTTTCTTCTAGACAGTGAGTGAGAAGGCAGATCTTGGCTGATTAAAACAAGTAATTTTTTTAAAAACACCTATTATGTGCCAGTCACTGTGCTGAGGCATTGTAGATAAAAAGAAAGGCAAAAGGCAGTCCTTGAACTCAAGGATCTCACAATTTTATTAGGGGGAGACAGCAGGGAAACAACTATTTGCAAGTAACACTATATAGACAGAATAAATTGGAGATAATCTCAGAGGAAAGGCGCTAAGATTAAGGAGGATCAGAAAAGACTTCTCAGAGAGGTGGTATTTTTGCTGAGACTTGAAGGAAGTTGGGAGACAGAGGTGAGGAGAGAGAGAATTCTAGGTTTGGAGGAGAGTCAGTGAAAATTCATGGAGTCAGAGATGGAACAGCAAGGATGCCAGAATCATTGTTCACAGAGTATGGGGAAGAGCGTAAGGTGTAAGAAGACTTGGAAAAGTAGGAAGGGGCAAGATTATGAAGGGCTTAAAAGCCAGCAAATTTTAAAACATTTTATCTTGCAGGCAATAGGAAGCCACAAGAATGAGTTGATAGAGATGGGTGGATGGGTGTGTGGATGGGTAGATAAATATAGAGAGGTCCCATTTATACTAAAATATGTATCAGTAACAAGTAAACTGGAATCAAAGTAAATGCTCATGGTTGTACATGAAGGAAAATTATTGCACCATAAGAACAGTATGAAGAAATCACAAAATGTATATGAATTGATATAAAGTGAAGTAAGCAGAAGCATGGAAACCTTTGCTCGATTAAGCAGCATTTATTAAATGTCCACATTGTACTAAACTTTGTACTAGGCTCTGGGGATGCAAATACAGAGAATGAAAAACATCTAATCAAAAAGAACTTCTATTCCAATGGGGAAGATGGCAATTATAGAGTTACGTACAAAAGAAAGATAAAGGAAAGATACAAAGTAGTTAAAATGAAAGGGAAGGAACTAGCACTTCAGGGAGGGTGTCAGGAAAGGTTTTTGAGCTGCCTCTGGAAGAAAGGAAGGGAGGGAGGGAAGAAGTGCATTCCAGGCACTGGGGTGGGGATAACCAATGAGAAGGCACAGTGATAGAGATGGAGTGTGGTGCAGGAGGAACTGAGAAAAAGGCCAGTTTGTCTGGATTATAGAATGAGATTGGGCCAGGTTGTGAAGAGCTTTCAAAGCTAAATGGAGGCGTTTAATCCTAGAGGAAGTAGGGAGCCACTGGAGTTGATAAAGTAGTAGAGTCACATTGTCAGATCTGAGACTTGGGGCAGAGAGTCTAGGCCGGAGGTGATGAGGCCCCTAGCTAAGGTGGTATCCGCCTGTGAAGAAAGAGATGTCACATCTGAGAGAGGTTTTGGAGGGAGAAATAGCAAGTTTTGACAAGTCAGTGGATACATAGAATAAGGCAGAGTTCGGAGAATAGAATTCAGTTCACCAAAGTTTAAGATCCTGGGTGATTGAAAGGCTAGTGAATGCTTTTGCTGAAAGTAGGGAAAGTACACCAACTATAGGCACGTACGTGAAAAGAGCAACAACAAAATTGGAAACTAAATGCTGTATAATAATGACCAAACTTGTCACGGAAGAAAAATGAGGATGTGCCTTTCTCCCCTCTGCAGAAGGACTGTGGGTACGAAATGCGGCCTCTATTGTTGGGCTTGCTGTAGTGGTTGGTTTTGCTGAACTACTTTTATTTAAAATTCTCTTTATCAGAGATAGCCCTCTAGGTGAAGAGAGAAGGGATCAATACCATTTAAAGTCCCTGTGATATGGACTACTTCCTTCTACTCTAAGAAGATTGAGGACAGAAAAGACAGAGAAACCACAATTCTTTCACATGACAGTGGAAAATCATTTAAAGAAAAAGGATAGGCTAAAGGAAAGGGAGATAATCTTAACTTTTAGAGGTGGTTGGAACAAGAGGGAAAATCACATCCAGCATGTTTAGTTGATAGCTTATAAAATCTCTCCTGCCTTCAGTACTTTTATAACTCGTTTGTTCAGATAGATATACTTAGCATATTATTGTGGGAAAGCTTAGGGTGCTTAGCAAAGCAGGACATTTTGCCTTGGCCAGATAAAGTGCTCAATTATGCACCTCAGAGTTCATCTAACCTTTTTCATTTTCAAATAAAAACACTGTCAGGAAGCTCCTTTGTAAATTTTTAGAGTTTATAAAAATAAGGAAGAAACAATAACTTCTAATCCAGTAATAAAGGTTGGAAGAATGTAACCTTCATGAAGGCAAAGATTGCCTGTTATTTTTCCATTAATATCCTCAATATGCAATACAGTATCTTACATATGCTTATTGAATTTAGTAGAATTTAAGCTCTTTGAGGGCAGGGACTTTCATTTTTGTCTTTACATCACTAGCACATAGCTCAGTGCCTGCTATAGAGTTGCCTTCCTGGGGTGCCCATTTGTGTGTGGGGGCTGTGGGTATATGTATGTGTCTATGTATGCATAATTTAGCCATTAGATATCTTACCTAGCCACCAAAGTGGCATTAGCCCCAGGTAATATGTTAAGCCCCATGGCTGCAAACCAGTTTTAATTAAAGACACAGTTCTTACACTACCCTGCCTGCCTAGTTTTTGTGCTCACTGTTGAAAGGACTGTTATTAGCCATATTCACAGGTACTGAGTGATCACTGAGTGACGTTGTCCTCTAACGGGCAGTAGCAAACTCCACATTCTGTCTCTGGGTGATGACATTTCATTCAAAGGGCAAGGTGGCAGAGAGGTGAAAAGGGGCTCTAAGAGGAGAACACATTCATCATCTGCTGTTTCTCATTAATCGTGTACATTGATGCCTCTGGTGTTTTCTGGCTACTTTCTTTCAGGCTGACTTGGATATCACAGAGATAAATAAGCTGACAGCTGAAGCTATTCAGACACCCTTGAAAGCCGTCAAAGGTTGGTAGCTCTTCTCAATCCCTTGTAATTTGGCTTTTGTCCTCATGATTTTCCTAAAACAGCTCTCTCTAGGAATCCTTTTTTTTTTTTCTTTTTGATGAGGCAGTTGGGGTTAAGCAACTTGCCCAGGGTCACACAGCTAGTGAGTGTAGTGTGTCTGAGGCCAGATTTGAACTCAGATCCTCCTGACTCCAAGGCCAGAGCTCTATCTACTGAGCCACCTAGCTGCCCCTAGGAATCTTTTCTTAACTGATAAAATGCATGGGTCTTTTTTTAGTCCCTATCCTCTTTGACCTTTCTGCAACTAATTACCCTGCCCTTGGCATTTTCTCCCTTTTCGTTTTTTATTACACTGCTCTCTCCTAGTTCTCCTACCCATATGACTGCTCTTCAGTCACCTTTGTGGAATCAATCACACATTTCCCGGTCCTTTGCTGTGGCTATTCACCAGTATTCAGTCATAAGCCACCTTCTCTTTACGTGTGCCCTCTTGGACATCTTTATCAGTGCCCAAGAATTCAAATGTCATTTCTTTTGCAGGTGTGTGTGTGTGTGTGTGTGTGTGTATTCATTCCTTGTCTGTATCTTGAACACAGCTCCATTAACTCCTTTTCACCTCTATGCTGGGCTCGTTGTAGGAAAAGCTCCCCAAACAATTAGAATTGTCCAAACATAAAATATCAGGAGATAGTGGCTTCCACAAAACTGGACTGATTGTAAATAAAGTCTGGATGATCACTTGTCAGGTAGAGGTCTTGGCTGAATCACAGAACTGCCAGAGTCCCTTCCACTTCTGAGGCTGTGATTCTTCCTGGATGTCCCACTGGCACCTTAAATTCAGTGTGTGCAAAATGGAACTTAGGGTTCAGGCTGTCATCACCTCTTGCCTGGACAGTGGTAGTAGTTAGCTCTTAATTGAGCTCCCTGCTTCCAGTGTCTGTCCTCTTCAACCCACCCTCTACATAGCTGCCAGAATAATCTTTTTAAATAATCTTGGCCCAGGTCTGACCAAGAGGCAGCTTGGTGCAACAGAACAAGCACTGGTTCTTGAAAGAGATGATATACTTACTACTTGTTACCAAATATTTGCCAATCAGTGAGTTGCCTGCTGTTAGGTTACTTTAATACAGAAAATTAGAAACAGAAAAGTTGGGTATAGCTCTGCCATTTATTAACTGTGTAACCTCAGGCAAGTCGCAGAACTCTGCAGAATGGAGGTACTATAGACAGTCAGGAAGGTCACCTGTGGAGTACCTAATGTGGCCAAGGCCTTGTAACGGGAAGGGCCACACTTGTGTAAGCTGCTGTCATTATTTAATATGGCCCAAAAAGGCAGATTGTGTTTCATCATTTTGAGCAACCAATAATTGGGTTAAATAAGTTAATTCCTTCTGGAGTCATCAGTCTATTTTAAATGTTCCTTACAGCAAAGAAAGCAGCAAAAGTGGCTGAGATGATTAAAGAAGAAGAAGCTGAAAATATTAATCCTCAGACTACAAAGGTAAGGATTGGATCCTTGGGGGGTCCAGTGCCAGCTCCTGATTGTATTGAGAATCATCTTTGGCTTTCTACCCAAAGCTAATCAATGAGGCAGATATAGTACTCAAAGTACAGGACTCCAGTCAAATTTTCGGGCAGATGAAATCTCTAAGGAAGTCATGACTTTGATTTGAGATTGCTTAGGTGAGGCGAGCAGAGCTGGACCATGGAGAGAAGATTGCAAAGTTATATTTCCTCACATCTTAACTTTCGGGAACCTTATTCATGTTCACATAAGTCAACTGAGAGATTGGGAAAGAAGAAGCCAGACTATCTCCAACAACAGCTTCCATTTTTTTCAACCTTAGAAAAAGACATAAGGAACCGATCCTCCCCGTGGTTCTGATGTCCCATCTTTGTACTGTCTTACTTGGGTTCTGAGCCTGCCTGGCAAGGTAACCTTAGGCAACTCAAATCCCATGTCTTGGCCTAAGTTTTCCCTATCTATAACATAATGAGTGAGCTAGACTAGATGTTGCTGAAGGTCTCTTCTGGCTCTGACATTCTGTGTTTCTGTGCGGAAGAAGGATTAGTTTCCTTTTGGGCTCAGAGAGGCGAACCAGCAGCCATAGGTGACAACTACAAAGAGGCAAGTTTGACATGATGTCATGCCAAGTTTTTTGCAGTTAGAACAATGCAGAAGTGGAATGAGCCATCTGGAGACAGTGGGCTTCTCCTCCATGGGGGTCTGCAAGCAGAGGCTGGACAGCCACTTGTAATATAAGCGAGGCTTCCTTTTTGGCCACTGGCGTCCCAACTCTCAAATTGTGTGACATATGAGTTGATGTGGTCCTGTGATCCTAGGAGTTGGTCGCTGCATTTCAAGAATGACTCTTTGTATTTGAGCTTGATTTTTTTCCCCCAGTTGTCTTTTCAGGTCTTTTTTTCTTTTCCATGTGTTAACTTGAATCTCATTTGTTTCTCTCTCAGGCAAAGAAGTGCCCAACGACCAAGAAGAGGGCTCAGTCGGTGCGAGCAAACAGCAGAAACAAAAGGCAATGTGGAGGGGGACTTGTTGCGGGGCAGGAGTGGAGGGATGTGGAGGAAAGGGAGTAGGGTTGGAAACCTTAAAGTCTTTGCATCTTTTCATTTGGAATGTAGACATGCAGAAGATCTGAGCCCCTCTGACTCAGGCAGAGACTGTGTTCTACAGTAGCGATCTGTGACAAATTGTCCCCCAGGCAACCGGGAAATTAGACTCTTCCTCCTGTGACTTAGGCTAGGTAGTTGTGGTCTAGAAAGGCCGTATCTGAAAGGGGCTGAGAAAAGTCAGTCTAACTACTGGTCTGGCTTTGGACTGGAGCGTAGGATAGGCAGGACTGGGAAGACTAAGCTTAATTTCTAAGGGTCTTAGAAGCTAAGGGCTCTTAACCCACTGGGTCCATGGAGAGATTTCAAGAGGCCCAGGAACTTGAATGGGGAAAAAATTACACCTTTCTTTAATTGGTTTCCTTTATAATGCTATATGTTTTATTTTATGCATTTAAGAACATTATTTTGAGAAGGGGTCTATAACAACGAGAAAGTAAGAATATATACATAGACCAGAAAAAGAGACAGAGAGGCAGATTCAGGACTAGGCTTAGACTAGAGAGGCCTACCTAGGACTCAGTAGGCAGCAGGTGAAGAGTATACAACAAATAATCATTTTTATAACTGCATAATTTTTTACTAAGTTTCTTTGTATGTGGTTATTTATTCTGTGATCAGTCATGTGCATTGCTGTCCAATGGAGGCTTTTAATTTCCATTGTAACTTATTTTTCAAATCTTGCCAGGAATACTGATACCTTGTTCATACTGTAGTCTTTAGGATGGAGTAAAGAAAAAAAATTTTGGCAGTTAGTATGAAAGGCTTTAAATCTGTGTCCATCAAACTTTATAGCGCGAGACTATATATATAGTATAATTCATGCCCAGAAATTCCCTCACACTGTAGTAAAGAATGTTGGAATGCTTTAATCCCCACACCGCACTGTGTGCTAGTCCACAGATTCCAAATGAGAAAGGTAGAAAATAAATTTCTGGAAATAGTTATGACCTAGAGGATGGTGTTTCCAAGAGAGCATTCCTCTACCAATATTCTACCATGGAGTGGTGATTGCTGAAGGTTAACCGGAAATTTACCAGTGATGCAGTGAACGTGTTTGGGAAGCTGGCCTGACAACATGATTAGAATCTTTGAAACTGGTATTTTATTCAAGCAGATTAAGATTCTCTCTCATGGCAAAATTTCTTACCTTGATAAATACAGGTCAAACCAAAGTAGTCTTGTTACTCCAGCCATGGGCAGATCTGATTTCTCAATGTTAGGACCAACTCCAGGCCCGACTCCCAGGTTTGATTCCAGGTAAGGGTTTTAAAATTACTTGAAATTCAGTGGTGACCCAAATATTTAACAGTACTCACGGAGAGCAAACATTTGCACAATGTACCTAATCCTCTAGTCTCCAAAGTTTCTTTAGAGGATAAAGAAGATATGGACTTTGCTGCCTTCTTTGCTCAGCAATCACTTAACAGCAGTGGAGATAGCACTGGGCTTGGAGAAAATCCAAGTTCAAATCTGCCCTGTGACTTGTTCTAGTTGTGTTACCCTGGGCAAGTCTCTTAACCAGTGACTGCCTCAGTTTCCTCATCTGCAAAATTTAGATGATAATAAAAACGCCTACTTCCAGGGTTGTGAGGAACAAATGAGATAATATGTAAATGTAATAAATGTAAAGCGCTTAGCACAGTGCCTGCCATGTAGCAGGTGCTATATAAATGTTAGCTATTCATTATTATTATTGTTACTCTCCTAAGAACAGTTGGCATTATCATTAATAGCATTACATGCGTGAGCTATTTTACTCTCTCTAGGCGTAAGTTAGAGTGGGTAATGCCTCTGACATTAGCAGGGAAACCCATGTATTAACCCTTTTGGCCTTTGCTGATTCTAATGCAGAGGTTTGAAAGAAATGAGTGGCAACATTTTAATAATGTTTCACTTTTTCTTTCTGGTGTAATAATCTCCATCATCTTGAAAATGTTAGATTCTTCAGATCCTGTGATAATGTAGTCCCCAAATCATCTCTCCTGTGACATTTGAACAACTTATGGAAGCATTTAGCTGCTCTTCTAAATGAAATGACCATGTTCTATTTCTGGTGATTTTGGGTTTTTTTTTTTCCTTCTTTTTAGCAACCAGGTTTCATGGAGCTGAAAATTATACAGATGAGAATTTATTTTTCTGGTTGCATGTTTAGTAATTACAGCCTTTTTCTCCCAGGCAAGTTGTGTTTAGTCATATTCTGCTCAGAATTTTTCTAAATTTAAACTTTATCCTTCTCTTAGAAGTGAGTGGTTTGGAAGGAAAAAAAGTAAGTAATTTCAGAACTGCAGCTTGAGCTAGGATTGGGGTAGAAGTGCTCATAATTCTTGCTTTAATTCAGTGTAGAGGGCAGATTTCACAAAAACTTTCTGACTTTTATAGGATCTTCAAGACCCCAGGCCTACGTACTCCTGCAGCCAGAGAGCGGATTTACAACATCTCTGTGAATGGCAGCCCCCTGGCTGATAGCAATGAGGTCTTTCTCACTGTGCCAGTGGGCGGAGGAGAGGTAAAAGAGAGCAGCGTTTATGAGAGAGAGAATTGGGGCCATTCTGGGTCTTCTGGGACCATTATACCTATCCCCAGAGACATCTTTCCTGTGTATGTCTTGATCTCTGCTTTCAGCTGCATCTCCTGCCCAGTCTGTTTCCCTAGTGTAGGTCAGCATGAAATGCTGACCTCCAAGGGTGCCATTACTGCAGAAAGTACTTCTATAACTTGAAAACTGCCCACCTCGGTATTTATTTACATGCTTGATGTGCAGCTTAAGATGTGCAAATCACAGCCTTAGGTATTACCAGGTTGAAAAAGTGAGCTTTACATCATGCCTATTATACCTAAAACCCTGAAACAAGAATTAAGTTCAGCTCTCTTTAACTGCAGTGATGAACTATAGATGTACTGATATTCTGAAATAGAAAAGGGTGTGTCCCAAAAGGTCTTTTCTCATTGAAAAGTCAACAAATCCAAGTTCACCTTGAAGCAGACAGTTCACTGTAGAGACAGCAGCATAGGCTGGGCCAGGGGTGGGGAACCTGCTGCCCTCTAGGTCCTCAAGTGCAGCCCTTTGATTGAATCCAAACTTCAAAGAACAATTCCCCTTAATAAAAGGATTTGTTCTGTAAAACTTGGACTCAGTCAAAAGGCTGTACCCAAGGACCTAGAAGGCCACGTGTGGCCTCGAGACTGCAGGTTCCTCACCTCTGTGTTGGTCTCTCTTTTCCCAGCAAATGCCCTGCCCACTTTCCAGGAGCTGCTGCAGCTTGGCCAGCTTCTAGGCTCAGGGTTGTCAGAACATCCCCTTTTCTTAGATAAACAACAAATACCTACTGTGTGCTTAGCACTGTGCTCAGTGCTGGGAATACAGGTAACAAAGAATGACACAAACATTCCTCATTGTATTCTTTCCAGGGGTGACAAGTGGATTCTTTCCGTTTCTACTTTGCCCTCTTGTTCTAAGATATCTGGATGATATTGTTCATTGATTTCTTGAAACATGATGACTAGGCTCTTTTTATTCATGGCTTTCAAGTAGCCCAGTGATCTTCAAATTAACTCTCCAGTCTTCTGACTTTGTTTTATTATTTCTTGAAGTCTCATGGAGTCATTAGCTTCTACTTGGTCAATTCTAATTTTCAAGGAGTTATTTTCTTCAGTGAGGTTTTGTGCCACTTTTTCCAAGCTGTTAATTCTCTTTTCCTATGTTTCTTCCCTATCGTTCTCATTTGGTTTTTTAAATTATTTAACCCTTTTTAAAAATTCTTGCTTTAACTAATAGTTCTTGTTGGACTTGTGCCTAAGTTCTATTTTTCTTTGAGGCTTTGCTTGTAGATGTTTTTAAGACATTCTTTTCTGTGTTTGTGGCTTGAACTTCCTGTCCCCATGATAGCTCTTTATGGTGGGATTCTTTTTTGGTTTGCTCATTCTTCCATCTAGCATCTAGACTTTGGACTTGTCGTTAATGCTGAGGCTCTGTGTAATTCCAGGGGCAATGTCTGGCCTGAGCTTCTGTCCTCTTCTGTCCTTTTGCTGCATTCATTGCTTCTAAAGTGATGTGACCCAGGGAAAAATCTGTTCATTACCCTTCTGGTCTGACCTCTGCAAGTTCTGACCCAGGTTTGAGGTCTTTTGACTTATTCCTGGTTGGGAGTTTCTCTAGACTTTTGCTCAGCTCAGTTACTATTAGTCTGATAGAAGGTTCTGCAGATTCAGAGCAACTGAACTGCCAGTTCCCATTTGGTCTGGGCCTCCTGCCCTGGTTATTCTACTGTAGGCTTCCACACTAACCTGGAGGCTGGAACTGAATCCCACTCAGCTCCTGGGGTCAGAACCACACAGCTGCTATTTGCCTCAGAATTTGTTCCATGCTTAGTACACAGCTGGGGCCCATACACAAGACTTCCTCCTACCCTGGATCTGTGATTGGAACGGGATAGCGGGCAACGGAGCTGCCAGATGGTGTCCATTCCTGATTCCTGTGCTAGTTCAGGGATCCCTAGGATCCCTTTCTCCCTGGTGGTGTCTCATCGCCTTTTTCTGTCTCAGGCCACTGGAATTCTCCATGCACTCTCCAGGCCAGACCCCATCCCAGGTGTCTGCAGGCTTCTATCTTGCCATCCTGGGCTAGAAAAAGAACTCAACTTTTTTTTTTTTTAACTTTCTCAATCAGAATTCAGTCTGGTGCATTTTCTAGCTCTTTGTGAAAGATGTTTAGTGAGGAGCTAGGCTGTACTGCTTCCTCTCAACCTACTGTCTTAACTCCATCCGACCTTCAAGAAAACTTTGTACTCATTATATTCTAATGGGGAAGACAAACAAGTGCATGTCTACATATACAGAAGAAATACAAAGAGAACAAAATCAGAATAGTTGAATACCAGATTTGGGAAGGAGAGGACACTAGGAGTTGGGGGAATAAAGAAAAGCTTCATGTAGAAGGTGGTGCTCGAGCATGTTCTTGGGGTATCTGGTCTTCTGGAGGTGAACTCCTCAAATTTAACAATCCCTTTTCTTTTGTACAGAGCATGCGCTTATTGGCCAGTGATTTGCAAAAAGTGGATCTGGCTCATCTGGATCCAGAGGCCTTGGGAAACATTAAGAAGTTATCTGTAAGTCCACTGAACTCCGTTTCATTGATGTGTGGCCATTTTGGACATTGAGGAAAGTTACTCTCACCAAATGTTTTCCCTTGATCTTAGGTTTCTGGTTATGCTTAGAAGCATCTGTCAAAGTGTCTAACTGAAGCCCCCAAGCTCTGAATTGTGGGGGAGGATTGTCCCAGTAGACCCAGGCCTGGAGAAGCCTTTACCTGGTGAAGGAGACTGCTCTTGGGGCGGGGGGAAGATCCACTGGCTCTAGAAGTGGCCTGACAGCTGGAAACCTCAGCTGGAGGAGGATAGACCGTGGATGTGATGGGGTGCAAAGGCTTGGCAGGCATTCTGCAAGTACTTAGCACCTTTCCCACTCGTATTAGGGAATAATATCTGTGAGAAGGCCTAGAGAGGTTGTGATTTGCCCCTCAAGGGCATGAGGATTTGTGGCCACAAAATGCCCATGTCCATAAAAAAGATGCCTGTCTTCTCTAGCCAATTCATGTTTCCCTTTCCTTTTAGAATCGACTTGCTCAGATTTGTAGTAACTTACGGACCCAAAAATGAAGCAGCTGAAGTTCTTCAAGAAGCTCAAGCCAGTCGTGATGGGGACTTAGCATGTACAACTTCGCCATCTCCAAAGGATTTCTTCAGGCTTGTTTATTTGGGTCCAAAGTTTTTATAAAGGGATTGACTGACCTTTTGACTGGTGGGATAGTAGAGATCATGGAGATACACATGCCTTCTTCTCATCCCCCTTCTACCAAAACCCTCAGGGCAAAAAGTTAAGGAAGACTGCTGTGGCCATAACCTCTTCACCCACCAGGCCAGCTGGTCAGCCTCCAGCAGGGGCTATTGTAGCAGTGGGATCTCTAAAGCCATGCTGCCACCACTCCTAGCTAAGCCCTGTATCCTGCTGTGGCTCAGCATCTGGACTCCGGGGATCCCAAAGACTTCTCTTTGCTCTCTCTTTCCCTTGGGTGTTACCCATGTGCCCACAGTGGGGCTGAGCAGCTAAACCTTGCAATGGAAGCAAGTATAGAAGGATGGTGGTGGCACTTGACCAGTGGGAAGCCCTCCAGCTTGCCATCAGTTCCACTGTTTTCTTCATTTTGGGGGACTGCAAGTTTTTGTCAGAAAGCTTTGGGGACCTAGGGGAGTGGTACCACGTGCCACAAAAACAGGACTGTGGCTGCAAAAGATGGGAAACTGCAGCAGCTGCAGCATCTTCCTAACAACCACAGCAGCAGCGGCCTTGTGTCTCTCTTCTTCCTCCTCTCTTCTGACCAAATGTGTTGGGAATTCTTTGTACCTATCTTCAATAAATAAGTTTTAATAGTCACAATCCTGTCTCTCTGAGAGTGACACAGTCTGGAGTGAGCTGGGGGATCGTCTGTTGGCCAAGCCTCGGCCTAACCCAGACGGCGACTTGGGTACCTGGGCCGTTTCTTGGAGTCAAAGATGCAGAAGTCAGGGACGAGCCCTGACCCCCTCAGCAGCTATGAAGGCCACTGTGAACACACCTACTTCTTTGCAGTAGCCTAATCTGGACATTGCTAGCTCCCAACTCTGGAATGATTTTCTCCTTTTCCAGGTGTTGGAAGGGCAACATCAGGGGCCTCTAGGTTAGCCACCCTGGGGGTGAGAAACAAGAATGCACGTTGCTTCTCTGGCTTTGTGTTGCTTTGTGTTAGGCATTTTTTCCAGCAGGTTTCCCATTTTGAATGCTCCTGGCAGCGTGGGTACACGTGATCCTCAACTGGCTGCTTCTAGACCGTGTGCACATGTGGATTCATGTATTATTGTGTGTTGGCACTGGAAGCAAATGTTTTCCAGGTGTATGGTGCTGTTTGACGTGACATGTAGGCCTCCCAAGTGTTGTCTGTGTTCATTAAATATTAAAGGAGCTGGAAGAAGACCTCAGGCCTTCTCGGGTGGATGAAGGACATTTGTGGAGGCCATTGACAGGTGTTCAGAGTGACCAGATGGAGATTGGTTTCGATCTGCTATGTTCTCGGTTGCTTGGGAGAATTGAGGGGCCCTGTTTGTAAGCTGGTGCTGCCCATCTCATCACCCTGGTGCAGTGTTCATCAAGTATCCATTTGGAGCAGTGGCGTCTTCTCACTGTTATCATCTGTTCTCCTGCCCCCCCTTCCCTCATCCTGGCTTCCCATCTTTGGCAAGAGCACCACTGTTCTCATTTTCCCAGGCTTCAGTGTCGTGTTTCACTTTGCTTACTTCCTCTTGTTGTTCTTTTAAACAGTCAACAAATACAAAGTGGCTCTTCTGCCAAACTCTGGGAAAAATACCAACTCTAAATAAGAGATGGTCCCTGCCTTCGGCTTGTCTGATGAGGGGAGGGCCTGTACTGATCTGGTACTACAGCTCGAGAGGTCAAGTCGAGGGAACACCCTTCCCCACTGAGGGGCAGGGTAGGTTTCTGGAGCAGAGCATTTGCTATGGCACCCTTTCAAACTGATGGATTCAGCAAAAGGACAACAACAACCAAAAAAAGAGAGTGACCTACAAAGGAAAAATTCTGCAGGAAAACAGACCAAAAAGCTAAGGAAGCAAAAAGGGGTCCAGGACAATGTGTGACTAGAAGAGCGGAATAGAAGAGAATCCGGAGGAGGAGAGAACAAGAGAGAAAGCACCCGGCTAACAATCAGTAGCATCAAGAGCCTGGAAACACTAGGTGCTTGTGGAATATGGCGCTGCAAGATAAGCAAGACATTGCTCAAACACAGCGAGAGATGCCAAGGGAGGAAAGGAACACCAAGCGCTTGCCTACTATGCGCCAGGTGCTGCCAGAAAGCAGAGCCAAGTGCAAAATCCTACAGCTTAGACCTGCAGTGATGTAAGGAGTGGGGCAGAACCAGGAAGAGGTCAGAATTCAGCTGACAAGCAATAACCAGGCTTGTTCCAAGAGCAGAACGTCACATGGTTTATGTGGGTAAATGGAAAATAACTGATGGGGTTTTTTAAGCAAACATTTAATACATTATGATTACATATCTGTTATACTGACAGAAGGGAACAGTCCTTGTGGAGAAGTGCCCCTTGCTACCACCCACTTCTGATGGGTGACTGCAGGTGCCAGGTGCCAGGTGGGCTCACTTTGGTGGAGACAATCTAGGGCTGAGAGCTCCAGGCTGAATCCTGCTCTGTGGAGAACATGTTCTGCTTCTCGTTTGGTCCCTGCAGGATTGGAGTCACTTGTAGAGGTGCGACCTTACAATTGCATCTGCGGGTACCTAAGCCCCTGCCTCTCAAGAAGCACAGCTATTGAAGAACTGGAAAAGAAGTTTCTAATCATCAGAGATGCTGAGGCGTGTTAAATGGTTCAATGCCTGGAGGCAGCTGGTGGCTCAGTGGATTGAGCACCAGCCCTAATGTCAGGAAGATCTGAGTTCAAATCCAACGTCAGACACTGTGTGACCCTGAACAAATCACTTAGCCTCTGTTTGCCTCAGTTTCCTCAACCGTAATAAAACGAAGATAACGATGACACCTACTTCTTCTCAGGGTTGTTGTGAGGCTCAAATGAGTTAGTATTTGTAAAGCACTTAACATGGTGCCTGGCACACAGTAGGTACTATATAAACGCTTAGTCCCTCCCAACATTAGTAACCATTTTATCGATGGAAATGACATGAAAGAAGATGCATTACCACATGCATTGCCACTGCACCCTAAGGTCCATTGAGCCTTTCCATTGGACTCGAAGCCAAAACCACCTATACACCTACTAGAATGTGAACCCCTTGAGAGTGGGAGTATTTTCTGTTTGCATCCCCATTACATAACATCATCACGCATCGCACAAAGTAAGTGCTTATTACAACATGACTAACGTGGACATATGTTTGATATGATTGTACACGTATAGCCTGTATCAGATTATTTGCCATCTTTTGGAGGGGAAGGGGAGGGAGGGGGGAAAATCTGGAACTCAAAATCTTATAAAGGTGAATGTTGAAAACTAAAAATAGATAAATAAAAAAGTAAGTGCTTGATATAAGACTTGTTCATGCATTAAATGATGACAGATCTTTAAGACCAAGCGCCACTTCCCAACGGCAGGGGTCAAGGATATGAGCAGCCAAACAACATTTAGTGGAGCTGTCCAGCCTCTGTCCTGAGCTATTCTCCTTCCAACCCAACGCATCCAGTCTGTTGCCAAGTCCTGTCAATTATACTGTTACAATGCCTCTTACACATTCCCTTCTCCCCTCTGACACAGCCAGCCCCTGGTGCTGGCCCTCATCACCTCACCCCTACTCGAGCTCTCTAGTATCTTATTACCTCCTGGATCAGATATAAAATCCTCCAACTTAGAAAGCCCTTCACTGCCTTCTACCTTTCCAGTCTTTGTACACTTTACTCCTTTCCATACATTCTGTGATCCAGTGTCGGTGTCTACAGTTCTTCAAACATCTTCCAATTCCATGCCTTTTTACAGGTTGTCCGTCATTCCCCTCTCCCCTTCTCTGTGCCTTTCTTCTGAAATTACTACCGATTTACAATGTGCGTATCTTGTATGTACACATTGCTTGTACCTTGCCTCCCCCATTAGAACTGTTGTTTCTGTTTCTTTTTTAGATATGTTGATCATTATCAGTCTGGTACCTTTTATAATCTTTGTTGTTTTTCAGTTGTGTCTGACCCTTTGTGACCCCATTTGGGGTTTTCTTGGCAAATATAACTGGAGTTGTTTGCCATTTCCTTCTCCAGCTCATTTTACAGATGAGGAAACTGAAGCAAATGGTTAAGTGAAAGTTATAATCTATACCAGTATAACTGGGAGAACAGGACCCCCATAGGGCCTTGAACATTTCTCTATCTTAACCAGGAGTCATTTAGACTAACCATTCTGAAAAACAGTTTGGAATTATTTTTTTAAAAACAGTGAACGAAATGATCATGCTTTTCAACTTGGAAGTCTAGTATACTATTGTACATATGCCCCAAGAAGGTTTAAAAAAAAAAAGGTCCCACCTACACCAAGATGCATAGCACTTTTTGTAATAGCAAAGAACTGGAAATAGTAGATGCCTGTCACTTGCAGCATGGCTAAGCAAAGTGTGCTTCACTGGACTATTACCACACTAAATGAAACAGTGGACACGAATTCAAAGATGTAAGGGGATCTGTGCCAAATGAAGAAATAACACTAAGTGTAATGACCAATCTTAGGCTCACAGAGGAGATGGGGGGGAGGGGCTCGGGGGGTGGTGTGTTACATATTTTGTCAGATCTAGTTGATCTATTGGTTTTATTAAACTTTTATTCCTTGTTACAAGGAATAGCTCACTGGGTAATAGAAGGAGAAGGCCCCTGTAATGGAGGGTATGTCTCAGATTTTTCAACTGCCTCCATTCCACAAACTTTCTTTGAGTACCTTCTATCTACATAGATTGTAGATGTAGGGGATAGAAAATTAGGTCATGGTCTTTCCTAGGTCCAGCAGGGGACATAAAAAAGAGAATTCTAATATAAGGCAGAAGGTGTTAAAGTCCTAATAGGGATGGGAACTGAACCTGGAGGTCCCTGGTGAAAAATCTCCCTCTACCACTGCAGGTCAGCCCCTCAGCATTCTGAGTCTTAGAGTTGCCAAAGTATTTCTGAGAGGATAGGATACTTGCCCAGGGTCAGAAAACCATTATGTGTCAGAGCCAGGATTTGACCTCAAGTGGTGTTGGCTCTGCCCCAAGCTGCCCCTTAACTCCTAAAAAGAGATACCTCAAGTCCTAGTCCGGAGGTGTCCTAGGCTGATTGCCAGACATTGAGCCAGTCCTTCAGCAGGGTTCTCCACCTACACCTGAGTGGGTGTCACTTAAGTTGCCCACCAGCCATGGCTCCTAATCATGTTTTCCCCCCTTGCCTCCTTGGATGTGGTATCTACTTTGAATCTTGGTACATTACAAACAAGTATTACTAGTTTACTCTCTACCCAACGTGTTCTGGCTTGTTTTCTTTGTATATAAAAGGCCACTTTGAAAAATGGATAGAGGTACCATTCACTGCTAGGGCTAGAGGGAGAATTCTTAGCAAAAGGAATAAAGGAAAACAAGATAATTTCAGTTATACGAATTTGAAAAACTTGGGCGTAAACAAAATATTGCTAGGATAGACAAACTTGATTGGATAAAACATCTTTGCATGAAATACTTTGGATAAAGAATAAATATATGACCAAGAATCCATATATATATATATGTTCAATCATTCTAGTAAGCAATTTAGAATCTCGTGTGTGTGTGTGTGTGTGTGTGTGTGTGTGTGTGTGTATTGCTTTTTGGCGAGGCAATCAGGGTTAAGTGACTTGCCCAGGGTCACACAGTG